AAGAAAAATAACTATATTTTCCAAAACAAAGAAATGTGAGAACAGCGTTGTTTTACATATTTTTGCAAATCTCTTTAATGTCTGGCTAAATAGAAGACAAGTTAGATTCTCATATCTTCTGCATTCAATCTGTTGTGAAAAGTTGTTTTGGCTGAAGAATATGGAGAAAATCTGGTCTCACCAGATACGTGGTTGGAAAAGATTAAAATATTTTAATAGGCAAATAAGCCTTTGTCATTATTATGAAAATAGTTTTGACCTCATGGACCCCTTGAAAGGGTCTTGGGCACCCCCAGGGAGTCCCAGACCACACTTTGAAAACTGCTGGTCTAGTGGGAAGCATGTTGGAACCACAATCAAGAGACTAGAACTTAGCATAGTGTCTAGCACATAGTAAGCACTTAATAAATGCTTGTTAACTCATTGACTTGACTGAGGCTCAGATCCTAGTTTCAGTGTTTACTGTCTGTGACCATGGACAGATCTCTTAATTTTCTCTGTGACTCAGTCTCCTCATTTATAAAAAGATGCAATTGGAACTCTATTACTTTTTGAAATTCTTGACCCTGAAGTGACAAACCTATTGAGTGCATTCAATTTGGCAAAAATTAATTAAATGTCTTCTGTGTTCCATTTTCTTCTAACCCTAAGACTTTGTCAAAAGAAATGCTATTGCAAATATTTTATAAACTGCCTAAGGAGTTTGATGCTAAATTTAAATAGCAAAAAATAATGCTTTCTAATTTGGAATGAAGGAAAAAAATGAAATGCCACTTAGTAAGAGAAAAAAATAGACTTCATTGGATTAAGAAGTAGAGGTAGAGGAAGTGAAAGAAAAAAATCATCTTGTAGTAAGAATTAAAAAAGAATTAACATAACCTTAAGCATTCACAAATTAATGGCCACAATATGAGAAAACTTAACATTTTCTGTTCTTTACTTTAAAAATAGAAAGAAGATTAAGTTTTTAAATACACATGTGTTTTAAAAAAATTTCAGCTTAAGGAGAAAAGCTGACCATGAAATCAGATGTTGGGTTGGTAGTCGTGACTCTACCTGTGGCACCCCTTTACCGCACAAGTGTCAAAACAGGATCTCTCTCCTTTTTAGATACAAGTGTACAGGATTTCTCTGACTCAGGGAACTTCTGAAAGAAATATTAGGCTTATTAGCGCTCACTAGAACTACAGCAGACTACTGGGATATGCTAGGATCTTTGCAAAATGCAAAAGGAGGATTTAGCAGAAGAGGTAAGTAAACTGAAAAGAGAGGCTTGGTTTGGTATCCGGCCACTCAGCTCTTGTTATGTGGCAATAACATGTCAGTTTTGCCATGCTCGTTTCCTGGGGAAGACTTTAGACATTTTTTTTCTTTTCTGATCTATATTACAACCGTTCATGTTGAAAAGTAGTTAGGTTTCAAGTTATTGAGATAAATGAGCTGTCTTAGGGTAACAGAATCTGTTTGTGTTGGGTTTAAACAAGACCTGAAGAGATTCAAATGACTGAGGAGGCCCCTGAAAATAGCCCATCTTGGCAGAGTTACCCTGCAACTGAAAGCACCAGCATATGTGCAAAGTGTTCTGGAATCTTCTCAAGTTATAGACATGCTGAAGTTTTAATGTTATGAAGAAAGTATAGATTAGAATTAGCCAGTTTGCTTTATATATTGCTTTTTTCTCCTGTGACTTTTTTATAAGCTGATTTCACAACTTAAATTTTAATGCACTGTGTTTTATACAATTATCTATTATGAAAAGAGAATTGTTAACTCAATTGTTACTGTATTTGAAACAAGTAGGTCTCACTTTTATTAAACTAAGGAGACAATTTTAATATTCTTTTGGCAAAACAAACCAACCCCCCCAAAAAACAAACAAAAAACAACCCATTGCTTTGTGGAGAGTGTTGGAATTAAAGTGAAGGTATCTGGTTTCAAAGCCTAGCTTTGCCACTCATTTCCTACCTTTGTGACCTTGGGCAAGTAACTTGATTTCTCTGGCTTGTTTCTTCATCTGTAAAATGAGGAGATTGGACAGGAGCTCCTCCCAGGTCATCGACTTTGTGTTCTTAAACTAGACTGGGTTTATTTTGAGAAACATTTTGTGGGATCTGAGATTCTATAAATCTCTTGGGTTAGTCTAGGGCATTTGGGAAATATATGTTAGCTGTCAGGGGAGAAGACATTTGCAGAGATGACATTAATGATACAGGAGGAGTCTGAAAGTAGGTTGGTAAGGTAACCATTTTTTAAGTGATGGAAAGGAGTTGTTTAAGAGCAACAAGCATTAAGTGTTTGTTATGTGTCTGGCACTATGCTAAGTACCAGGGATACAAAGAGAGGGAAAAAGTTTCTGCCTTTAAAAAGCTCACTGTCTAATACGGGAGAGAAAACCTACAAAAAATTATTTACAAAGAAGATATTGACAGGACAAATGTAGGTAATCCCTGAGGGAAGGCAGGGGGAGAACCAGGAAAAGCTTCTTGCAGAAGCCTTTTTAATTGGGACTTGAAGGAAGCCAGGAAATCCAGGATATAGGGGTAAAAAGAGAGAGAATTCCAGGGATGGGGGGCAGCTAGAGAAAATGCACACTCAGGAGTGGGAGTGTCTTGTGTGTTTCACTGATCACTGAATAAGTGCATGAACATAAGGTAAAAGAAAATTGGAAAGATCTTGCAGGTTGTGAAGGGCTTTAAAAACTAAACTAAGGCTACTAATTGAATAGGGAGCCACTGTTATTGACAAGGTCAGATCTCTGCTTATAGAAAGATAACTTTGATAGCTGAGTGGAGGTTGGACTTGTTTGTCCTTCATTCTCAGAGGACCGATGACATCAGGATGGTGATGTCCTGACTTGCAAGTGAATTGGATTTAAGTGAGGGAGGGCTGTGCAAAGTCACCAGCCTCATTCTCTCCTCCAGAGCCATCTGGGTCAAGTGGCAAGATATAGATCAGGACGACTGGAGATGGCCCTGGAAGCAGTAGGAGACCTTGGTCAAGGTCTTTCCCAGGTCTCAGTTTGATGTAGGCAATGCCCATTCAGTGATTAAGGCTAGGTAAGAAATGAGGCCAAGAGTGGCGTCTTTTAACTAGTAAAAAACAAAACAAAACAAAACAATCTGGGAGGGGAACACCCTCAGGGTTTCTGGCTAAAACAGAAACAATTGCTATTTATATTCACTCTGAGCCATCAGAACCCAAACAATGACCAAGCGAGGCTAGGGCCCTATTGCTGGCCAATCAGTAAGACCCAGAGTGATTTGGGTTTAAGGCATGGTCCTTAAGAAAAAAATCTAGCCCATAAATCCCAAGATATTTTTCGAGTTTTAGCTATCAAAATTTATATTCTTTTGGGCAGAGCACCCACAGGTAAGGGTATGATCCCCTTTGTGGACAGAGGGAGAGGAAAGAGAGAAGGGAGAGGAGAGAGGGAAAGAAGGAAGGAAGGGAAGGAGGGAAGAAAGGAGGGGAGGGAGGATTGACTAGAGGAGGGAGAGACCAGAAGGCTATTGCTATAGTCCAGGTGTGAGGTGTTGAGCATCACCAAGATGATGGTGACGCTGTTAGAGGAAAGGGATGTGTGTGTGTGTGTGTGTGTGTGTGTGTGTGTGATATTGCAAAGGTAGAATCAACAAGACTTGGCAACAGATTGGATATGGGGGTGGGGTAGGAGAGAATGAGGAATGGAGAATGACACCCAGGTTTTGACTGGATAAATATCAGGAAAGTGCTACCCTCAACAGTAATAGAGAATTTTGGAAGGGGAGAAGACATAGAGGGGAAAGATAATTCGTTTAGTTTGGGATATGTTGAGTTTAAAATGACATTCCTTTTGAAATGTCCAGTAGGCAGTTGGAGATGAAGGATCAGAAGAGAGGTTAGGGCTGAATAAATAAATCTGAGAATCAATTATGATAGACACGATAATTGAATCTGTGAGACCATGAGATCATCAAAAAATAGTATCAAGGCAAAAGAGAAGAGAACCCAGGACAGAGCCTTGGGGGACTTCAGGGTCAGCCTGGATGAAGAATTAGCAAAGAAAGAAACCAGGATGAATATTGGATACTATTAACAAGACCACTCTACCTAAACCTGATAGATATATCTCCAATTGTGGACTCTTAGAAACAATGCATTTTTTTTCAGCATAGGTAGGCTGCCTCTTACCCAAAACTTAGGGTCTTGAACTTAATAAATTCTGGCTAAAACTTAGTAGATGCTTATTGAATGAAACAGCCCTTTCAAGTTGTAGGGCCCTTAAGGGAGAGCCTCTCATTTCAGTAACAATGAGGACAGTAAATGATTAAGTACCAATATGAATATTCTTTTTTTTTGGGGGGGGGCTAGGCAATGGGGTTTAAGTGACTTGCCCAGGGTCACACAGCTAGTAAGTGTTACGTGTCTGAGGCCAGATTTGAACTCAGGTCCTCCTGAATCCAGGGCTGGTGCTCTATCCACTGTGCCACTTAGCTGCCCCCAATATGAATATTCTTAAAAGAATACAGCTATAAATCTTAATTATCAAATTCAGCCTAATTTATTCAAGAAACTTAAATGTAGATACAAAAATTGAGTTTAAAAACCATTTATCTTTGGGCTCATTCTTTCTTTTATTTTTTCCTTCTCAAAGAGTACATCTTGTACTCAACTTTTAACGTTGGCCAAGCACTTTGGTGATTCCTAGATAATTCAGCTTCCCACAACAAAAATTTTTAAATTAGCCAGGTAACTTGGGCTCTTGCAAGTCCTGTGTATTGTTTGCGGCGACCTCTCAGCCTTTGCTTTCTTTTATGTCGGGAGGTTAAACTTTGTCCTGGCCAAAGTTACCTTAACTTCTTGCCAAGAGTCCAAAGGCCTGACACGCTTGGCATTCTAACCAATGAATTTCTGCATTCTAACCAATGAAACCATGTTTCACTTTTTTCTCCCTACTAATTCCCAGTGCTTGGCACATAACTGACTCTTATAAATGCCTGTTGGTTGATTGTTTTACGTAGGAGTCTCAGGCACTGGATTGGCCCTCTAAGTCGCCAGAGAGAAGAGGGGAGAGGGACGGTGCGGTCGTGGTACGGATCAAGAGCGGATACACAGCAGGTGGCGGTGGGAGGGCTATCCAGGTGCGTTGGGGGAAGTTGCTACTCTGCATAATACAACCTGCCCACCCTGAGACTGACGGCTGTAAGCGGAAGAAGCAGCTCACATCTACGCCTGAGCCACCAGAGCCTTTCCCGAGGTCGGATGAATTGTGGGAGTTGTAGTCCCTACGCTACTGCGGGCGGGGTAACACCCGGCTGCGCCAGCCTCCAGGCGCTTTCACCTTAAAGCGGGATCAACCAAATTCTGCTCCGCCCCCTCCACCCCCACTCCTATTTTATTCTCCCATCTTCAAAGAGCTAAGTGGCCAACTGAAAGCGTCGGAGGGCTTGGGCAAAATCTAAGATCCCTTCGTCTTTTACTCCTCACCCGTAGAGTTAAGGGTGCTTTTCTCATTGCAATCCTCCGGCTCCTTTTAGGTAGAAAGCCGGAGACTAACCTTCAGCTCTTGGCCCCTCCCCATGTTCGGCGCAGTGTCGCTAGCTATTTGGTCGAAACCAAAAACGGGGGTGGGGGTGGGGCGGAGCGTGAATGAATTAAGTGTGGATTGCGGAAATGGCTCAGGACTCTGACGTCGAAGGGTCGTTAATTTAGACTTGGAATGACGAGTAAGGTAAATTGGGCGCAGTAATGGGAAGGGTTCGAGTTTCTGACCGCAGGGAGCCGATGTGGGCTCCCCCCGTTGCCGGCTCCGCCAGTGGTACTCCTCAGTTGCCTAGGTGCCAGCCCTCGGCGCGGGGTCGGCAGCCGGTAGTGGAGGTTGCTGCGGTTGCTGTCGTTGCTGTCGTTGCTGTCGTAGCTGTCGTAGCTGTCGTAGCTGGGGACTATGGCTACCGGAGGGAGCTCCGGGTTGGCCTTCGGCGCCGCGGAAGGAGCCAGCGCCGCCGCTCAGCTTTACTGCGGGATAGTTCTGGAGGAGCTGCGCAACGTGAGCTCGAGCTGAGGCCAGGGCCGGGGCCGGAGGCGGGGCGGTGTGAAGGCCAGGGGTCGCGGGAAGCTGGGGCCGGGGGCGCCCTGGGTCCCGCGGGGGTGGAGTGGAGAGTCCTTCCAATCACCATTTATGCCGTCGTCCTGTGGAAGTGTAATCTTGTGCCCGGGTAAATGAATGGCTGTGGCTCCGCTAGGATCGTACATCCAGCGCACAGGCCATCTGGCCCATTTCGAAGACCCGAAACAGGTTAAGTCACTTGCCCAGGGTCATTCTGCTACTAAGTTTCAGAGGCCAGATGGGCTCTGCTTTTACAGTATTTGTATTCAAATTCATCTCTCTTACGCTACCTGTGTAACCTTGGGAATGTCACTTAACTTTCTGGACCCCAGTTTCCTCATCTGTAAAATTCTGGTTCAGTAGACATTGCCTAAGCAGACGCTCTGCTAGGTGCTGGAGTGAAGGGGGTTGGACTGGATGTGGCCTCTGAAGTCCCTTCTAGCGCTAGATCTGTGGTCTATGATCCAAGTCTGGCTCTGTACCCACTATGTATTACAAAGTGACAGTTGTTGCATAGTTCCATTTTTACTTTAAAAGGGAAAGTGTTTGTACCAGTACAGTCCTGTACATAATGTACCCATTTCCCTACTATTCTTCTGTTGTAGGCCAGGATTGGTGCTTCAGGTTCAGAATTGAAATGAAATGAGACACTTGTAGGTCATCTGACAGTTAATAAAAGGAAGTGTAGCTATGACAGGAAAAGGATATTTTGCAAGGATGCTGCTCTGATCAATTGGGCATTGCATCCCTTCTGGTGTTGGCCATGTTGGTATTCAGTTCGAAAGCCTGGCAGTTTTGTACTTACATAATCAGAAAATGACATCAGCTGTTTGAGCTTAGTCTCTTGGACCAATTAAGTACCTAGGACAGTTTTAATATCTTCCAAGGGAAAACTAGCTCAGGTCATAGGGAGGGAAAGGAATAATGGCTTTAGGGTATTGCACCTATTATATCCCACCCTTTGGTGGCAAGGGCCTAAAGGTCTTCTGGTAGGTTTTCCACCACTTAAATGCCCTTAGGATCATCACTAGACAACCCTCCTCTGGGGGGGATGCAAGAAGCCTGGCATAGGTTTGGGAGGAAGAAGAGAAAAACTAAAACAAAAATAGTGCAGTCCTCCATGTCCTGCTCCCCACCTTCCTCCCAAAACAAGCAATAGAATATGAAGGAGAGCAAAACCAGAATTCTCAGGCCTCATCTCTCTCATTTGTAAGAACTGCATCTCAAATTTGAACAGTCTGGTCCGTGTGGTGTGAGATGCGTCTTTGAAATGTAAAGTGTCAGGTGGTGATGAGCAACAGAAGCAGCAGGACCGCAGCACAGATATGATATTTCTGCTGAGATTATTCATTCTCATCATGGGTCAGGATGATCTGTGGTAAAGTAGCCAAGAAGTCATTACCTTCTTAGGTGAATCCTGTCCTGGTACTAGTCAATACAGAGAATTGCCCACTGTGACTGTGCCCTCAGTGTTCCCTGGCCCACCAGCCAGGATCTGCCTCTCCCTGGGAGACCCATTATATGGGGAGAAGAGGAGGAATGCCAACTCTTTGATCCTTTAGGCTTCTGCTGAGGGACTGGTCATCTTTTTCCATAGAGGTTAAATAGATAGTTTCGTGTCCTCTGGTTGCTAGAAAGCAAGCTACTTCCCAGCAGCACCACCTGTGGTCCTCCACTTTCTCCCTAGAAAGTGTTTATCAAATGACCACTGAATACCAAACTGACAGCATTATGAAAGGACCTCCTTATCTGCAAATTACAATAAGCAAACGCTTGTTCTGGGTCTGCCTTTGCTACTGCTTATGCTGGTGTCCGTTCTGCTGCCACTGAGATCTCTCACTGCTGAGTCCGCTTCCACTGGGGCCAGCATTGTTGTTTACTCTGCTACCTCTTTGCGCTGGGCCTATGTACCACTACCTATTGCTGCTGTCTTTTCCCATCATTCTGCTGGAGCCACGTATTGCCCATTCTGCCAGGGCCAGACACAGCTGCCCTGTGCGATGGTCTACCGATCCCTCCTTCTCTCCTCACGGTGGTGTCTGAGCACTATCACTGTGCTGGGGCTGCCCCCTGTGCTGGCTGAGCTCTGCTACTCCTTGACTCTAATAATGTTCCTTTGTGCCATAGAGAGGGTGTTGCTGTGGGAGTTTCTTTGCCTGATGCTGCCTCTTCTGGATCCTGACAGTTGCCCTTTTGTGCTTCTGTGCCAGAGAGAAGACTGCCAGGGTCACTCCTGCTACTCCTTTCCATTCTTTGGGGCAAACCCTCTTACCCTTCACTGGAAGTTTCAGAGAGAAAGAGAGTTATAGTTAGAAGGAGTGAGAGCGGAAGCTTTTTCTAGTAGTAAACCGATACAATACCTCTGCTTATCAGCTGGGATGCATTTGGCGCATTTGTCCACATCCTCAATTCTAGAAAAGTCTCTACTCTGGGGATCATCCAATATTGTCATTTCAGGACATCCTTCCCCCACCCCCCTACTGTTGCCTTGTACTAAAGAGTCCAAAACACACGGTTCTTTATGGTGTAATAATATTAATAATGGCTAGCTTCTATTTAGCCCTTTCAAGTTTGCAAACATCTTTACATATGTTAACTCAGTTGATTCTCACAACAGTTCTGTAAGGTAGGTGCTATAATAATATCCCTATTTTACAGATGGAGAATATGAGGCTGAGAGAGGTTTGAGTGACTTGCCTAGTGTTGCACATCTAATAAATATATAAGGCTGGATTTGAATTTGTATCTTACTGACTCCAAGTCTAACACTAGTCCACCTAGCTGCCAACTAAATGCCATATGGAAAATTCCCAATCAGTCTGAAAGCACAGTTTTTAAATAATCCTAACGTTTCAGTATTTCGGGACGGCTCAGGCCTACCATAGCCAATAGGTCTGTACATCAGAACTGACCTTGAGATTTAATTGACCCAGTGTTTTATGGCTTGGTCTGTTGGCTTGGCTTTTTGGTTGCCCATGTACAAAAATGCCACATGTAGTTCCATTTGCTCCCTGACGTTGGACCGCCATGGCCAACACATAAGTATGGGAGACAGGCTTAGCTGAATCAGCTCGTCTATTGGGAAAACAACCCATACACAGAGAAATAAATACAAAATATATGTAGTTTAATGCTTGAGGAATAGGGATGGCTAACAATGGGAATCAAGAAGGACTTCTGTAGAAGGAGACGCTTCAGCTAAACCTTGAAGGGAGCTGGGGATACCAAGTGGTGGAGGTGACGAAGAGCATTCCAGGTAGGAGGGACGGTGCAAAATCACTGAGGTAAGAAATGGAACATCTTGTGTTGGAGATGATAAGTCTACTAGTCTGACTGGAATGTAGGTAGCGTGCACAAGGAATTTAATATGAAATCAGTACAAAAGATAGGCTGGAGTCAGACTGAGGGCCTTTATGTGCCAGACAAGTTTGTATTTTATAGTAGAGGCAGGAAGCTACTGAAAGTTTTTTAAGTGGGAAAGGGACATGGTCTGACTTGTGCTTTAGGAGCATCAGTTCGGCAGCTGTGGGGATGATGGTTTGGAATAAGGTGTGAAACTAGAGACAGGGAGATCAGTTAGGCGGTTACTGAGATTGTGGAGGTGAGCCATGACAGGAGCTTAAGGAGTCTTGTGAGTGGGGAGGACAGGGATATGAAAGACTTGAAGGTAGAATTAACAGGACAGGGCATTTGATTGACTTATGGGAAGTGAGGGATGGTTAAGAGTAGAGAATGATTTTGAAGTTGCAAATCATTTTGGCTGAATCACAGTGTGGAAGTATAATTAATGCCCATTGACTCTGGAAAAATAGGTTGGGGCCAGGTTGTAAAAGGCTTTAAAAGCTACATAGAAAAGTTTATGTTTGACTCTAAAAATAATCGAAGCCACTGGAATTGGTTGAGTAAAGGAGTCATGTGATCTGGTCTACACTTAAAGAAAATTACTTTGGCATCAGTGTTTAGAATGTACTGCAATAGTGAGAGATTTAAAGTGGGGGGGGCCGATCAGGAAGCTGTTTCAATAATCTAGGCAAGAGTTGGTGAGGAGGGGCAGCTAGGTGGCGCAGTGGATAGAGCTCCAGTGTTGGAGTTAGGAAGACCTGAGTTCAAATGTGGCCTCAGACACTTGACACTTACTTGCTGTGTGACCCTGGGCAAGTCACTTAACCCTGATTGCCTCACCAAAAAAAGCTAAAAAAACCCCCCAAAAACAAACAAACAAAAAGCAATACCAAAAATTAAAGAATTAAGAGTTGATGAGGATCTGAACAAAGGTGAAGCGGTGGATGTGAGAGATGTTGGCAGTATTTTCAACTGTTTGAATATATGGTGTAAGGGAAAGGGAAAAATCAAGGATAACATCCACATTTATGAACCCAAGATACTGGAAGGATTGTCTTTGACAGAACTAGGAAGGTTTGGAAGTGGGGCATAGTTTAGAGGGAAAGATAATTGAGTTCAGTTTTAGACATGTTGAGCTTGAGATATTTCTGGGAACACTGGACTAGAGGGCAGGTTTAACCAGATAGCTGGTTAAAAAGATGGTGTCTGAAAACAGAAATTGGATTTCTGGACTACAACTTAAAATAGAAAAATGATGGCTTCTTCGTCAATGATGGAATAGACCTGGCAAGGGTTGATAAAAATATGTTTTCCCAGAGTCTTAAAAATCTAGGAGAATATTTTTTTTAAATGAAAAGAAAGAGGTAGAGGGGAAAATTGCCCAAATATATCCACTATTGTAGAGACCACGGAAGATAAAATGGAAGAGTAGAGATGGTGAGAAATCTGCAGTATACAAAAATCCAAGAAAAGAACTGTTAAGTAAAACCCATTGCCTCAGGTGAGGTAGTGTCCTATAGTGGGAGAGTGCTGATTTTGCAGCCAGAGCACCTCAGGTCAGATTCTGGCTCTGACACTTTCTACTTGTATGACTTTGGGCAAATCGCTAAACATTTCTTGCCTAACTTTCCTTATCTGTAAAATGGTGTTGGAATGGACCTCTGAGATTTCTGGCCTCCAATTTATCAAATTGAGAATCATACCACAATTGTATCTAATATGACCTCTGCAATTAACTAACTGACTTAATGCTATAGAGACTTAATTCCTTACCCACAGAGGTAACATAATTTGGTAAATACACAGAAGCTCATCACCACTAGGCTAGCCATTTGGTGAATTCGTTTGTCATGGCAACACTGGAAATAGAGAAAAGTGCAAAATGGTCATGTTTGGTCCTTTTCACTTCTTCAGTCACAGTGGCAGAAAATGGGGCAGAGATAAGTATTGAAGGATAACATTTTTTTTTTAGTTTTTCTAAACATTAAATTGTTTTTCTAATTGTGAATCTTTGGCCAATTGGTGAGTGGATAGTTTTGCATTTAAAACTATGAAGCTGTTAGATTGCTTTAAAAAAAATTCAACATGTTGCTTCATTTTTTTTTTTATTAAAAAAATTTTTTTTAAGTAACTGCTACATGTCTGGCTCTGTGTTAGGTGCTGGAGAAAAAAAGACCAAAAAATGAAGCAATCCCTCCTCTGTAGGGTTGAGCTAAGTGACCTTTGAGGCCCTTTCCAGTTCTATGATCGTGTAGTTCCTGACAAAATACCACAGAGCTAAAAAACAAACAAAAAAACCCCTGACTTATCATGGTACTGTGCTCATAGATAGTTGGTGTGAGACTTTTAGAAATTGTACCCTGAATTTTTAGTTGTATTGCTTTCTAAAGAGATAACATTTGATTATTAGGGGTTTTTCTTTTTGCCAGACTTACCATTTAAAACATTTTTTTATTAATTTATTTTGATTTATTAACAATCACTTCCATAAGCTTTTAAATTTTAAATTTATCTCCCTCTCCATCCCCACCTCCCTTCCCAAGACAGCATGCAATCTGATACAGGCTATACTTATATATTCCTATTAAACATATTTTCACATTAGTCATGTTGTAAGGAAGAATTAGAACCAGTAGGAGGAACTATGAGAAAGAGGAAACAAAAGAAAACAGAAGAAAAAAATGGCAAATAGTATACTTCGATCTGCATTCAAACTCTATAGTTCTTTCTTTGGATGTGGATAGCATTTTCCATCATGAAACTTTTGGAGATGTTTTAGATCCTTGCATTGCTGAGAAGGGCTGAGTCTATCAAAGTTAGTCATTGAAAAATGTGGCTGTTACTGTGTACAACATTCTCCTGGTTCAGCTCACTTCAGTCGGCATCAGTCCATACAAGTGTTTCCAGGTTTTTCTGAAGTCTGCTTGCTTTTCATTTCTTATAGCACACTAGTATTCCATTACATTCATATATTACAACTTGCTCAGCCATTCCCCAGTTGATGGGCATCCCCTTAATTTACAATTCTTTGCCACCACAGAAAGAGCTGCTATAAATATTTTTGTACCTGTAGGTCCTTTTCCCATTTTTTTTAAAAACTTTTTTTGTGGCTGGGCAGTGAGATTATGTGACCTGCCCAGGGTCACACAACTAGTAAGTGTTAAGTGTCTGAGGCCGGATTTGAACTTAGGTCCTCCTGACTCCAGGGCAAGTGCTCTATCCACTACGCCACCTAGCTGCCCCTCCTTTTCCCATTTTTATGATCTCTTTGGGATACAGCCCTAGAAATGCTATTGCTGGGTCAAAGGGTATGCACATTTTTACAGCCCTTTGGGCATAGTTCCAAATTGCTCTCCAAAATGGTGGGATCATTTCACAACTCCACCAACAATGCATTAGTGTTTCGATTTTCCCACATCTTTTCCAGCATTTATCATTTACTTGTTTTGTCATGTTGGCCTATCTGATAGGTGTGATGTAGTACCTCAGAGTTGTTTTGATTTGCATTTCTGTAATCAATAGTGATTTAGAGCATTTTTTCATATTACTGTAGATGGCTTTAATTTCTTCATCTGAAAACTGCCAGCTCGTATCCTTTGACCGTTTATCAATTGGGCAATGACTTATATTCTTTTTTTTTTTTGGCTAGGCAGTGGGGTTAAGTGACTTGCCCAGGGTCACACAGCTAGTAAGTGTTTTGTGTCTGAGGCTGGATTTGAACTCAGGTCCTCCTGAATCCAGGGCTGGTGCTCTATCCACTGCACCACCTAGCTGCCCTAATGACTTATATTCTTATAAATTTGACTTAGTTTTCTATATATTTTAGAAATGAGGCCCTTATCAGAGACACTGGTTGTAAAAATTCTTTCCCAGTTTTCTGCTTCCCTCCTAATCTTGGTTGCATTGGCTTTGTTTGTGCAAAAAATTTCCAATTTAATGCAATCAAAATTATCCATTTTTCATTTCATAATGTTCTTTATCCCCTGTTTGGTCATAAATTCTTCTGTTCTCCATAAATCTGACAAGTAAACTATTCCTTGCTCTCCCATTTGCTTATAGTATCAGCCTTTATATCTAAATCATGAACCCATTTTGACTTTATTTTGGCATATGGCGTGAGATTTTGGTCTGTGTCTAGTTTCTGCCATATTCTTTTCCAGTTTTCCTCACAGAAATAGTGAGTTCTTATCCCAGAAGCTGTGGTCTTTGGGTCAGACTTAGCATTTTTAAAAAAGACCTACAGTATTTTACCTGTAGATCTCATCAGCTCTGATAGATTCAGTTTTCATCTCTGCTGATGATTTTCACATATATTTATCCAGCCTTAACCTCTTTTCTGACTGCCATTCTAATACCTCCCACTGCCTGCTTGATATTTCAAACTGGATGTCTTATCCCATAGATATCTTAAACTCAGTATGTCCAAAACCAAACTAATTATCTTTCCCCTAAGGTCCACCCCTTCCTGACTTTTCTGTTACTGTTGAGGGCTTGCAACATAAGTGCTTTCTTGGACCTCACTTTCTCTCTCTCCCTCTCTCTCCCCCTCTCTCTCTCTCTCTCTCTCTCTCTCTCTCTCTCTCTCTCTCTCTCTCACACACACACACACACACACACACACACAGGTCCTCTCTACTTCTCTAATACTGCCACCACTCTATTACAAGGCCTCATCACTTCAAACCTGAACTACTACAATAGCCTGCTGGTAGGTTTGCTTGCTGAAAGTCTCTTCCCATTCCTCCGTTCACCTGTCAAATTGATCTTCCTAAAGTCATGTCTGACTATGTCAGCCCTTTAAAACTCCAGTGGCTTGCTGTTGCCCCCAAGATCAAATTTAAAATCCTTTGGCTTTTAAAGCCTTTAATAACCTGACTCCTTTTTACCTTTCCAGTTTTCTTACATCTTACTCTTCTTCATTTACTCTGCAGTCCAGTGACACTGGCCTCCTTGCTCTTCTTGACATTCCGATCTCCTGACTGTATTTTTTTTCTTGGCTGTGCCCCACGTGAAATCTTTGTCTATGTCTCCGGGCTTCCTTAAAATCCTAGCCAAAATCCCACCAGTTACAAGAAGCCTTTCCCAGGCTGCCATAATACCAGTAGTAGTGCCTTCCTTCTGTTGATTATCTACAATTTATCATGTATGTATCTTGTTTGTACGTAGGTGTTTGCGTGTTGTCTCTTCCACATAGTAGGTGCTTAATAATGCTTGTTGACTTGACGACAAAAAATTTCCATTGATCATTTAATTTCTTTTTGTGTTGAAGGTTGTATCAGCTTTGCCTGAAGATATGAAACGAGGTACTGATCTATATGGATTTCCCTGGGAAATAGTGATATGTGCATTTACAGTTGGCTTTTTTACAATTTTCCTTTTTTTGTGCAGAGGTTTTTATTCGGTAAGTAACCAGAATACACACTGTACTAAAATGATATATACTGTATGCTAGCATATTTTTTATTTTTAGTACAAAGTAAGGTTATAGTTAGACCAGGCACTCAAAATTGTTCTTGGCAGGTGATTAACACTAAAGAAAAGAGCCAGGTGCAATTTAAAAAAATAAATTACAAATTTTTGAGAATTTGTTGCAAATTGTTCTATAGCAGTGATAAACCCTTAATTCTGTTGCTACCTTTTTACCTTCTTTTGAATTTTTCTTCTTTTATCTTGCCAAAATATTCTGTAATTATTGTTAATTATTCTATATGTTGGCTGTTCTATATGTTGTTGACATTTTTCTTCATATATTGATATTCATACCAGCCCAGCCTGCACTGTTATTTGTTCTCCCAAAAAAACTTATGGTTTTGTGGCAATTGAGTGAGAGGAAGAGTAAAAAAACTGGCTTTTTGCTTTTTTATCTGGTCAGTCAGAATTCATTGTCCTAATGTGGTGAGGAGTCACTACTATTTGTAATACAAATATTAGAAGTTTAATATGTTAGAATTGCTAGAGTATATAGTTTTAAAATGCATTGTAATGTAATTTCTTTGTTAAAACTCATTTATTTCAGGTTAAAAGCCGACTTTATGTAGGTAGGCAATTTTTTTTTCTATTTTGGATCTTTTCATTGTACTTTGAAATTTTTCATACTTTTCATTACAATAATTTAAACATGACAATATTCATTGTTTTTTTTAGGAAGGGAAAAACAGCTTACTAAAAAAATTACTGAACTAATGGAAGAAAAATGTGAGATGCTGAATAAATTTAGCCTTTGTCAAAAAGAGGTAAGCATATTTCTTAATTTGTCAACATTCATGTTAAACTTATAGTTTTACATGAAAAGGCTTTTAAGTAGAAACTTTAGCCAACATCGAGAATATGGTTTTGCTCTTAAGTTTCTACTTAGTTTGCAGTTTTCTTTAAAAGGTACAGCTCCTCATAGTCACAGCATATTATATTTATATAATACTTTTTTCCTTTAAAGACATATTCACACCTCATCTCATTTGATTTTTGTAATTACCCTGTGAAGCAAGTAGTGTGGATATTATTATTCTGGTCATATAGATGAGAAAGCAAAGTTCCAAATATTAAGTGACTTAACCAAGACAGTAAGCCAGTAACAGAATGGAACTTGAATCCAGAATGCCTAGTTCTACATTCTTTCCACTACTTTTTCCCGGAGAAACTGGGATGATCTCATTATCTTCCTTTTTTTCACAAAACACTTTTACTACTGCTTTTACATTTTCCAGTGAATTACTATAGTTAGTGAGTTGTTCTGTTAAATTACAATGTAATATAATAAACATTTCATTGTCTTTTTTCAATCCTACTTGCCAATGGTTTTATTTCTTTTTGTCTCCTTGTTTTTATGCTTCTTATTCTTCTGAGATTTTAATGTTTTAGATTTTAATTAAAAATAATTCCACAGTGTTGTAATAGAACACACTGATCTCTAGGACTTAGAAAGTTTGAATTTTATACAAATTTTGCCAATAAAATTGAGAGGCCCAAAGGTCTGGTAATCATTGGTTTAATGCCATCTTGGTCTAAGAGTAACCTAGAGTGGAATTGTCTTTGACCCTTTGCTGTATAATATTTTACCAGTACTTGGATAAAGGCATAGATGGTGTGCGTGTGCTTATCACATTTGTAGATGACACAAAAATGAGGAGGTATAGCTGACATCTTAAATGACAGGATCTAAGAAGATTTCAACATACCAGAACAAGCAGCTAAATTGAATGAGATGAATTTAGTATAGATAAATGGAAAGTCCTTCACTTAGCTACAAAAAATTCAACTTCCCAGGTGTTGGATGGTTTTTTGCATGGCTAGACAGTTTCTGTGGAAAATCTGTGAGGGTTTCAGTGGGCTGTACACTTCATGCAAGTTAGTAGTACAACGTAGCAGCTGAAATAGCTCATGGGATCTGGGCTCTCTTAAGAGAGGCACAGTGACGGTTGTAATCCACATGCTACACACTCCCCTGATCGGACTGTATCTGGAACATGATATTCTTCTCTGGGAGCCACATTTTAGAAAGGATATTGAGAAGCTGAAGAGTATATAGTGTGGAGTATGACCCAGAATGGTAAGGGTTCTAGAGACCACGTCATGTTAGGCACTGAGGTGCTGCAGTGGGTAGAGTGCTGGGCCTGTAGTCAGGGAGACCTGAGTTCTAATTTGGTCTCACACACTTATTAGCTGTATGAGCATGGGCAAGTTACTTAAATCTTTATCTGTCTCAGTTTTTTTCTCTATAAAGTGAGGATAATAATAGAACCTCCCAGGGTTCTTGTTAGGTTAAAGCAAGATGATATATATATTTTTTTAATTTAAGAAAGTTTTTTTATATAAATTTATTTATTTTTAGTTTTCAACATTTACTTGCACAAGATTTTGAATTCCAAATTTTCACCCCATCTTTCCCCTCCCCCCACCCCAAGATGGCATGCATTCTGAATACCCCTTCCCCTAGTCTGCCCTCCCTTCTATCTCTCCCCCCCTTCCCCTTATCCCCTTCCCCTTCTATTTTCCTGTAGGGCAGGATAGATTTCTGTACCTCATTTCCTGTATTTCTTATTTCCCAGTTGCATTGTGGAACATTTTTTTTAAACATGTTTTTAAAACTGGGTTCCAAATTTTCTCCTTTCCTCCCACCCCACCCACCCTCATTGAAAAGACATCCAACTCAATACAGGCCATACATGTGCAGTTATGCAAAACACTTCCATAGTAGACAAGTTGTGAAAAAGTAACTCTATTTCCCTTAATCCTATCCTGCCCCCCATTTATTCTATTCTTTCTTTTGACCCTGTCCCTCCTCAGAAGTACTTCTTTTTGATTACCCCTTTCCCAATCTGCCCTTCTCTCTATCATCCCCCTGCTCTCTTGTCCCCTTCCTCCCCTGTTTTCCTGTAGGGTAAGAGAGATTTCCATACCCAATTGAGTGTGTATGTTATTCCCTCCTTAAGCCAAATCCTATGAGAATAAGATTCCCTCATTTCCTCTCACCTTCCCCTGTTTCCCCTCCACTGTAAGAACCTTTTCTTGTCTGTTTTGTGTGAGATAATGTACCCCATTCTACCTCTCCTCTCTCACCCTTTAATTTTATTCTGCAGTTATCGCCCCTTCGTCTTCAACCACCCTGTGCCCTCTATCTATCTATCTATCTATCTATCTATCTATCTATCTATCTATCTATATATGCATATAATTTTTCCCCTCCCACTACCCTAATACTGACAAAGGTCTCATGAGTTATAAATATCATCTTTCCATGCAGGAATGTAAACAGTTCAGCCTTAATAAGTCTCTTATGATTTCTCTTTCCTGTTTACCTCTTCATGTTCCACTTGAGTCTTGTATTTGAAAGTCAAATTTTCTATTCAGCTCTGGTCTTTTCATCAAAATGCTTGAAAGTCCTCTATTTCACTGAATGACCATTTTTTCCCCTGAAGGATTATACTCAGTTTTGCTGGGTAGGTGATTCTTGGTTGTAATCCTATCTCCTTTGCCCTCGGAATATTATATTCCATGCCCTGTGGTCCTTAATGTAGAAGCTGCTAAATCTTGTGTTATCCTGATTGTGTTTCCACCATACTTGAATTGTTTCTTTCTGGCTGCTTGCAATTTTTCTCCTTGACCTGGAAACTCTGGAATTTGGGTACAATATTCCTAGGAGTTTTCCTCTGGGGATCTATTTCAGGAGGAGATGGTGGATTCTTTCAATTTCTACTTTGCCCTCTGGTTCTAAAACATCAGGGCAGTTTTCCTTGATAATTTCTTGAAAGATGATGGCTAGGCTTTTTTTTTTGATCATGGCTTTCAGATAGTCCAATAATTTTTAAATTCTCTCTCCTGGATCTATTTTCCAGGTCAGTTGTTTTTCCAGTGAGATATTTCACGAGCTCTTCTATTTTTTCATTCTTTTGGATTTGTTCTACTGTGTCTTGATTTCTGATAAAGTCACTATCTTCCAATTGCTCTATTTTTAAGGAAGTATTTTCTTCAGTAAGCTTTTGGACTTTCTTTTCCATTTGGCCAGTTTTTCTTTTTAGGGCATTCTTCTCATTGGCTTTTTGGATCTCTTTTTCCATTTGGGTTAGGCTATTTTTTAAGGTATTATTTTCTTCAGTATTTTTTTGGGGTCTCCTTTAGCAAGCTGTTGACTTGTTTTTCATGATTTTCTTGCATCACTTTCATTTCTCTTCCCAGTTTTTCCTCTGCTTCTCTTACTTGCTTCTCAAAATCCCTTTTGAGCTCTTCCAAGGATTGGGACTGATTCATATTTTTCTTGGATGCTTTAGATGTGGGAGCTTTGGCTTTGTTGTCTTCTTCGGTTTGTATGTTTTGATCTTCTTTGTCACCAAAGTAAAATAATATAGTCTGAATCTTTTTGCAAGGTTTGCTCATGATCCCAGCCAACTACTTGAGTTTTAAACTCTTTGTTAAGATAAGAGTCTGCTTCCAATGTGGAGAATGTACTGTCCCAAGCTTCGGGGGTTTGTATAGCTTTTTCAGAAATACTTTTAGGGACCTGTAAATTTTCAGTTCTTCCAAGCTGGAAGGGTCGAGGTGTTTACTCTTTTCCTGGCCTGAGCTCTGGTCTTTGAGTGACTGGCCACAGGCAGTCTTTTCTCTCTTGGAACTGTGAGGAGGGTTTCTTCTCCACAGCCACTACAGGCTCCACCACGCCAGTGCTCCTCCTCACCCCAGAAACGACACCCAGAACTGTGACCCAGATCCAAGCTCAGGCAAAGCAAGAGATTCCTGCCTCAACACCAGCAAAGAGATCCCTGCAGTCCCCTCTGATCAGCCACTTGATTCCCCCTCAGTCTGTGGGCTCAAAATGCAACCACTGCCCCAGCACCAGTGCTCTGTGCTCTGCACTCTGGAGCTGGCTCTGACCTAGCTCCTCTCTCAGCATTGCAGACCTTCTAAGTTGTCTTCTGTCTTTGTGGATTGATGAGCCTGGAAACTGCCCAGCTGCCTGTGATTCAGTCCTCTGAGGCCTGTTCCAGTTTTGTTGTGGCCTGCGAGCCCATGCTGAACTGCGCTCCTCTACCTGCCTTGTGCAATATACCTTTCCAATCAACCATCCAGGCTGTCTTGGGCTGGAAATTTGTTTTACTTTGTCTTTTTGTGGGTTCTGTTGCTTTAGAATTTGTTTACAGCCATTTTTTTGTAGGTATTTGGAGGGGTTTTGGGGGAGAGCTCAAGGAAGTCACTGCTTTCGTGCCACCATCTTGGCTCCACCCCACAAGATAATATTTGTAAAGCACTTTGCAAACCTTAAAGCACTGTATAAATACTAGGAAAAAAGAGGAAATAGGAATGTTTAGCCTAGAGAAGACTTTGAAGGGGACTATGATTTCTTCCAAGTATTTGAAGTACTATCATGTAGAAGTATTAGACTTGTTTTCTTTGGCCCTAGCAGATAGAATGAGGAGCAATGGGGAGAAGTTATAGAGAAACAAATTCAGACACAATATGAGGAAGAACTTCCTAATAACTACAATTTCCAAAAAATGGAATGGTGAGTTTTCCTTCCCTGAGGTTGTTAGATAAAAGCTGGATGAGTACTTACTGAGGTGTTTACAGAAGGGATTCCTCTATATGCATGGATTAGACTACGTAGCTTCTAAAATTCTGTGATTTTGAATCTTTGCTCCAATATTTACTAGCTATATGACCTTGGGTAAGTCACAACCTTTCTGAGCTTCTTTTCTTCAAAATTGGCATATTAATACTTGCCTATAGGCAAGATCAAATAAGATCTATGTATGTTAAGTACTTTGTAAATGGCAAAGTAAGATATGGATGTTTTTTATATATGTTATTGTTATATTGTCATTGTAAAAAAATGTTAGGAATAGGCACTAGACCTGTAATTGCATGATAACAGTGATAACATATCACTGATGATCTCTTCAAACTTGAGGTAGATGGACACTAATAGAGCATATTTTTGTATATGACATACTTTTTAATGGTCTTGCTCTTAGGATTATATCCTTCCCTGTGTTTACTGGGAAGTGACACTAAGATTTGGAGTCTCAAGCCTCTTTGAGACATAGACTTTGATAAATTTTGCTAGGGAATTATAAAGGATATGCTTTGCTGTCATTTGTACACACTAGATTTTACCTTTACCCACAAATGTTTTATTTCCTTAATTAGGAACTCTGACATTGCTTTATCTGACCATAACCACCTATTATTTTATTTTTCCCTAAGCCTCACCCCTCTTAAACCTATTCTCCTCCCTCATTGGGTCTCCCTAGCCCTTAGTACTTTCTCAGGCAATTAGCCCAGCTCTAACTTGGCTTTCCTTCCTTTCCAGTCCCATCCCTTTAGCTGTTTCACCTCTATACTGTTCTCTGATCTCAAATCTCAGATTTACCATTGATCCCTTAAATGTCAGATCTGACAGTCTTTTCTCAGTCTTCGTCCTTCTTGACCTCTCTGTTGCAATTGATACTGTTAACCACTCCTTCCTCTTGGATACTTTCTCTTCTCTGGGTTTTTTGACATTCCTCTCTCCTGGCTCTCCTACATTTGTGACCGCTCCTTCTTCTCCTTTGCTGATTAATCATCCATATAATTCTCCTTTATCGTGGGTGTTCTTTAAGATCGTCCTATACTCTCTCATCTTGGTGATGTCATCTGTTACCTGTGGTTTTAATTCTCATTTTTATGCGGGTAACTCGCAGATCTATATATTTAGCCTCACTTTTCCCCTGAGTTTTAGCCCCACATCACCAATTGTATTTTGGACATTTCAAACTCAGCATGCCAAATATTGAATTCATCTTTCTGTCTAAATTCATCCATCTGCTATACTTTTCTGTTTCTGATAACACCACCCTCTCAGTTTCCTAACCTTTAATTTCTCCCTATCTCTCGCCCCTTCTATTTAATCAATTGCCAGATCTTATTGTTTGTCTCCATAACACCTTTCATATCCAGCCCTTCTCTTTATGCGTGTATTTACTATCTGGGTTCAGGCCGTCTTCATCTTTTATCTAGATTCCTAATTAGCCTCCTTGCCTCAAGTCTCACTTCTCTCTAATCCATCCTACAAACTCCTACCAAAGTAATTTTCCTTAAGTGTAGATCTGATCCTATGACTGTCCTATTAATTCAACTTAAGTAGTAGTATATTGTCTCTAGAATAAAATATAAATTCCTCTGCTTAGCTTTGAAAGCCCTTCATAACTTGATTCCAACATTGCTTTCCAGTCTCGTTGGAGACTCAGAAACTCCTGTGTTCTGGGATTCTGCCAAACTCTGATCCTCCCAAACTCTGCAATCCAGTTTCTTATGTGTGACACTCCCATCTTCCATCACTGTGCTGGTGGCCCCTCGTGCCTGAAATGTGCTGTTTTGTTACCTGCACTTTATGGAATCCCTTTCTTTCTCCAAGGTCCAGCTCAAGGACTGCCTTCTACATGAAGCCTTTCTTGAATTCCCCAACTGTTAATACCTTCCCTTTCAAACTACCTTCTGTTTAACTACTTTGTATTTATTCTCTTTTATATTTATTCTGAATATTCTTACAGCTCTTTGTGAGTTGACATTGTTTGATGCTTTGTATTTGTATCCCTAATATCTAGCACAGTGCTTGGCACGTAATAGGTGCATAAAAATGTTTGTTGATTGATTGATTTGCCAGTGAAAAATCACAGGCAGGGGTTTGTCATTATTTCTGATCAAATTTATATGCCTGTAAAGTAATTTCTAGGCTTTACCAACCTGCAGTCAGGGCATATTTTCCCTGGTTTTCATATGGTCACCAAAGCCATATTTGAGAGTTGCTGACATAGTCTTTTGTTTGATTGCAGTATAGATCTCTAGAATCATCTTTGAAGGATGGAAACTTTGAGAGAGAGTCATCAGAAATACCCAGTCTGCAGGTAAGAACAGAAGGAAAAGGTGAAGTAGTCAAGTGATGAAAGGGTCTTATTTTTAAAAAATTAATAACATATTATTAAAGCTAAGAAAAGACCGTCCTTTAGAGAAGATAGGCATACTTTCTTCATTAAGAAAAGAAGTGTTAATTATTTTGTTTGGTGGCCAGTTAGAGCTTCCTCAGAAACAAAACACACACAGAGGAAATAGAACGCAAGAAAGAAGCTGAAAACACTTTGGAGATAGGAATCTTTGTTTGAGAACTTGTCGGTAAGGTATTTAGATCACTTTTTGGCCTTTTGTCTTTCCCCCTTGACCAGACCTTGTTATGTAGTAGAACGTACTACAGCCAAGGAGATCACATGTTTCCAGTCCAGTAGTGTACTATGCATGCCATTTTTTTGCAGAGTAGAGTACCTGACATCATAAAGAAGAGATATTTTCCTTTTTTTCCCACTTCATTTTCAAAAATTATTTATTTATTTATTTTTAGTTTTCAGCATTCACTTCCATAAGATTTTGAGTTTTAAATTTTCTCCCCTTCTCCTCTTTCCTCCCCAAGATGGCATGTAATCTGATATAGGCTCTACTTACACATTCATATTAAGCATATTTTCACAATAGTCATGATGTATAGAAGAATTAAAACTAATGGGAGGAACCACGAGAAAGAAGAAATAAAGCAACAAAAGAAAAGGAGAGCAAATACTATGTTTCCATCTGCATTCAGACTCCATCGTTTTTTTTTTCTGGATGTGGATAGCATTTTCTATCAAGATACCTTTGGAAATGTCTTAGATCTTGGTATTGCTGAGAAGAGCTAAGTCTGTCAAAGTCAGTCATCTCACAGTGTGGCTGTTATTGTGTACACTGTTCTCCTGGTTCTGCTCATTTCACTCAGCATCAGTTCATGTAAGTCTTTCCAAGTTTTTCTGAAGTCTGCCTGCTCATCATTTCTTATAGTACAATGGTATTCCATTACGAGATAATCATTTTCAAAAGAGAATAGGCGATAGCAATGAATTATTACTCATTTGCTAGCTCTTCCACCATCACTTCATATTCAAGTTCCTTGGAGTTTGGAGTAAGTTAGATTTGGAAAAAAGTTTTATATTTAAATTTTTTAGGAAAGCAATTTAAAATTCAGCCAAGCAGAGAGACAGTCTTGATATTGTGTTTCTTTTGTTTGGGTGGATGTGTATAAGATAAATATTGTGAAGAGGAAGGAGTCTTTTGTTTCTTCTAAACTAACAGATGGAAATAGGTCACTTCTTTTTCCTTATAACCTATAGATTTTCTTAGCCCTCCCACAGTAGTTTCCAGCTACTGTGTTAGCATCAAAAGATTCTCGATGATTTGGGCTTAAGTCTAAATAGTAAAAGCACTGGATTTGTAGCTGTAAGACTCGGGTTTGAATCCTGTTTTTTCCTCTTACTTCGGCTTTTGGGGCTTCAGTTTCCATATCTGTAAAATGAGGGGGTAGACTAGATAATCTCTGAGATCCCTTCCAACTCCTAGTCCTATAATCCTTGCTGTGTTCATTTGCGATGAAAACAAAAATTGTAATATGAATTCCATATAAAAATGAGCACGAACTTAGATGAATTATTTCCTGGTTATAACTTTTGTTATTTCTTAAAATAAATTTTTTGTACATCAACAACTGAATAAATACCAAGCAATTACTCTGCATAAAATACTGTAATAGGGGCCTGGGATACAAAGATGAAAAATTTGGAATCTCTGCCCTTATAAGACATGCATACAGATAAGTTTAGGAAGAGGTAGAATATCATGGAGCAAAAAAGAGAGGATAAAATACTGGGAAATCTGAGCAGGAATTATATGACTTAGAGTTGAAAAAGAACAATTGAGACCTAACACCCTCATTTTATAGAGTGCATGAAAGGGATAGGAATTAATTCTGGAAATCTGGAGCCAGATTGTAGAGGGCTTTAAATACTAGGTGAGAAGTTTGCATTTTATCTGGTAGGCAGTAGGGAGACCCAGAAAGTTTTTGAGTAGGTAAGTGACACAGGGCATTTGTATATTGGGAAGACTGTTTTGCCAGCTGAGTAAAGGATGGTTTAGAAAGAAGAGAAACTCAAAACAGGGAAACTGGTCAGGAGGCTAGAGGAGGGCAAGGGGGGTAATCAAGAGGTTTTATGTGACCTTGAAGAGAACGATTTTAGTATAATTGTGCAATGGAAAGTATAGATACTAAGTATATACTTTTTTCAGGAGTTCTGGCAGTGAATGGGAATGAGGTTTGAAATATAAGATGACATATTGAGGGTATAATAGGGTCGAGAAAGGATGTGTGGGTTTTTTTTGTTTGTTTAGTTTTTGCTTTTTAGCTTTTTAAGGAAAGCAGTGACTTGAATATGTTTATAGGTAATGAGGAAGGAATTATTGAGAGAAAAAGACTGAAGATAAGAGATATAATGAACACTGTTCATTATACTTCTTGAATAGAAAGGAGGGTTGCCACTGAGACCTGAAGCAAAGGAGAAGTGAATAAGTAGAGCAGTTTTGAAGTGTGGAGAATGGGAGATTAGCAAAGAGAACAGGCCTTCAGTCTGTTCAGTAAAGTAGGAGACAAAATCATCTTCAGAGAGAGATTGGATTGGGGATATAGTTGTGGACTTTATGTAGGAAGTTTAAAATAAGCTTCTGTCAAGAGTATGATTGGAACTCAGATGAATAAAAGGATTCCTTTGCATTGGTGAGATGGATGTCACATGAGATTAGATATTATGATTTTATATTGAATTCAGTCAGCAAAATTTTCTTATTTCTTTCAGCTGGGCTTGGCATGGCAATCAGTAGAAGAGAAGAGATCAGATAGATGATAGATTGATAGGAATGACCCAGGATTGAGAATTAGTAGGGTATAATGACAAGGTGTCAAGTGATTGTGGAGGTGAAATGACAGATCTTAAAATTAATACTGTAAATGGAGGGAAATGAAACCAGGGCAATGGATGAGGAAAACAGAGAGGGATAGATGGGCAAGAAGTCTCAAAAAGAAACACGAGCATCCTCAGGAATAAGGCTATAGGAGAGATTGTCACCAAAGAGGAATTTCAGTTTTAGAATTTCATTTTCTTCAGAGTAGTTGTCTTATTTTCTATTTCTTGATTACCTTTTCTCACCCACTGTGCTGTGTAGGATTAGTTGTTCTGTTTCTACTTTGACCAGTTACAGTTTTTATAGGTGAACAAGAAGTTGGTTCAGTAGCATCATACTTTATGGGCCAAATACAAACAGTTACTTTGGGAGATATTGGGTTTATAGGCTCTAATTGCACATATTAGTTGTTTTTCATTTTGAGCTGAATATTATGGGAAATCTTTAAGTTTTAGTATTTTTATAGTAACTTTCTTGCCTTCATGAGCATCAGTAACAATAGTTACATGCAGATTCAGCCATATCATCAAAACAAGCCAGCCCTTTTCTAATTAGGTTGAAATTATTGATATTCTTGATGAAAACATTTTCAGGTATAATACAACTATATAATAGCTGAAGATTTAGCATATAAAAAGAAACCAATATGGAAAAGATAGGAAAGTTGTACACAAACAAGTTTCCTGTTTTATTTTTAAGCAGAATTAAAGTGTTTATTTGTTTTGCTTTTATTTTGGTATCTGTTGAATTATTTTTTGATTCTTTTTTTTGGTGGGGGGCGACAAGTTTGAAGGATCACAGATATTAGAGGTATGTTTATTTTATCTTCTGTAAATCAATTGTAACAATTTAGTACCTAATCATAATTTTAAATAGTAAAAGGTAATAGAAAATTGTAATCTTTTGCCTTACATAGAGCAAGATTGCCTTTAAAGCTGTTTTGAAGTGCACCTATAATTTTCTGATTGATGTGTTCATTTTTTATTTGATTGTCATTTTTAAATGAATGTCCTACTCATTTTTTCTTTCGTATTTTGGAAGATGCAGTATTGTTTAATCAAAGTTTAATAGTATTATTAATCATAGCAAATAAGCTGATTTAAATTATTGATACACTTGCAAAAAATTTAATATAGATATATGTGAAATTAACCCTAACCAAAAATGCTTCATGTTACTTTACAAAATTGACTATTTTTAGGCTGCATATGAAAAGCTGGACAAGGCAAACTCTGTGCTTCTGGATGAAATACATTCTCTAGAAACAGACTTGAAAGAGGAGAAATCTAAACGATCAGAACAAGATGAGTTGGTAAGACTTTTGTATATGGAGAAATGAAAAGGGAAAAGCAATCTGGGGTGACTTAAACTTTGTAGCTTTTTAAAATACACATTAAAAGAACTAGCTTGCATTTAACCTAAATACTTACATATATAGTAGGCAGTTTTTACTGTACAAAGAGCAAAGATAAAAATGCTTTAAGTTTCTGGGAGGTTTTTTCTCCTTTTTTATTCCCCCTTGATATTTAGTTTAGGAAATGACACAGTGATGTTTGTGAGTGACTGCTTAATTAATTTTTGAAATTATGACCTTTTGCTAAATATCATGAATCCGTTCAGCTGTAATTTGGTAAAATATTAAGGTTTAGGTAAAAGATGTTTGTTTGTTTGTTTTTCTTAAGGCAATTGGGGTTAAGTGACTTGCCCAGGGTCACATAGCTAGTAAGTGTCAAGTGTTTGGTCTGAGGCCAGATTTGAAGTCAGGTCCTCCTGACTTCAGGGCTGGTGCTCTATCCACTGCGCCACCTAGCTGCCCCAAAAGGTGTTATTTTAAATACTGCTTTGATGTTTACTATTTATATTACTGCAAAAGTATAAAAGTAGTAAAATAGTTATATGATAAAGTAGTTATAAAATAGTGTTACATTTTTCGTGCAGCTCGTAATTATAAACTAGAACCATCTTGGCTATAAATATGTAATCAGGTTTTATAACAGATGTTACTAACAGTGGATAGAAGCCCTTACAATAAAAAAGAAAAAGCACTTAAAATAATTATTAACACTGTCTTTCTAGATGGCTGACATTAAAAAACGGATACAATCACTCGAAGAGGAATCAAAATCTGTCAAATCGCAAGTAGCTGAAGTAAGTTGAACTGGATAGTCATTTTGTAAAGTATACAGATAATTTTAACTTAACTTAATGTAAATTTAATGTAGCATTTAAAAATATCGTTAAGAACAAGATACAGAAACAGAATTTTAGAGCTGGAAGAAATCTTGAAGGTTTAGCTAACCCTGGTATTTTTATAGATAAGGAAGCAGATTATCAAGTAAAGTATGAATTCTTTTTTTTTCAGTTTTATGAATTTATTGATTTATCAACAATCACTTCCATATGCTTTTGAGTTGAAAATTTTTCTCCCCCTTCCTCCCCCCCCCACCCTCTCCAAGATGGCACACAATCTGACATAGGCTTTACATTTACATTTTTTCACATATTTTCACATTAGTGAAGTTGTAAGTAAAAATTAAAACCAGTAGGAGGAACCATCAGAAAGATGAAACAAAACTCAACAGAAGGTAAAAATAAGTGATACCGATTCGACTCCCATAGTTCTTTCTTTGGATGTGGACAGAATTTTCCATCCCGAGGCCTCTGGAGATGTCTTAGATCCTTGTAATGCTGAGAAGGGTTCAGTTTAACAATATTAGTCATCACATAGCATGGCTGTTATTGTGTACAAAGTCCTCTTGGTTCTGCTCACTTCACTCAGCATCAGATCGTATAGGTCTTTCCAGGTTTTTCTGAAGTCAGCCTGTTCATCATTTCTTATAGCACAATAGTATTCCATTATAAAGTATGAATTCTTGATACAAATATTCACAACCTTCTACAGCTTGATTTTAAATACCTATCTAGTTTTATTTTATATTATTTTACTTCCTGAGCAGTACATTCCAATCACAATGGGAAGTCCCAATGGATATCTTTGTACCTTTGCTTACATCACCTTCTGTGTTGGAATAAACTTCTCTTTTCTCCTCCCCTATCTCCATTTTCCAAAGTCCTTTCTTTTCTTCAAGCTTTAACGTAGGAGCCACCTCTTTTGTGAATCTTCCTCTGACTTCCCCAGTTGAAAGTTTGAGATAAGGGTTGGATTGAATTGAGAGAAATTTGATGCCTTGCCCCAGAATATACAGCCAGCTAATTAGTGACAGAGCTGGGACTAGAATCCAGATATCCCGAACTCAGCTATATACAAATTCTGATCGGATTTGTGGGGTTTGAGGAATAGTTGTGGGGCATATAAAAATGTTAAATAACTTGGGAACTTTTGGTAGAGGCTCAAGCATATCACCAGATGAGCCTCTGTCCCTAGATCAAGGGTGATTATGACTCTATTCTTAACTTCCAAACTTCTGTTAGCTGTTGATCTTCCTGCTTCTCCTGTGATTGTTTATATACATATGTTTTTGCTTTACTCTGTGACGTGGGGGCCATCTCTAGTTATCCTGATCTGTATCTTGTTACTGGACCCATATATGGCTCCAGAGGAAGGAGTGAGGCTGTTGACTTTGCACAGCCCTCCCTCACTTAGGCTGTGCAAATCTCATTTACTTGCAAGTCATGGCATCACCTTCCTGATGTCATGGTCCTTTTTGAGAAAGAAGAACAAATAACAATCTGAGTAGTAGTAGCTGCCCCAGTGGGGATCCAGTTGGCCAGTTCCAGTTGGGCAGTGCACCTTCTTTCTTTCCTTCCTTCCCTTTCTCCTCTCACTCTGTCCACATTGGGTATCATATCCTTACCTGCAGGTGCTCTGCCTAAAGGAATATAAATTTTGATTGCTGAAACCTCCCAAGTTATTTTGGGATTTACTGGCTAGATTTCTTTCTTAAGGATCATGCCTTAAACCCAGATCACTCTGGCTCTAATTGATTGGCTAACAGTAGTTCCCAGCCCAAGCCTCTCTTTGTCATTGTTTGGGTCCTGATAGCTCAGCCCTTGTTTCTGTTTTGGCCAGAACCCTGAGGGTCTTCCCCTCCCAGATTTTTTTTTCTGGACTAGGTAAAAGAGGCCATTCTTGGCCTCATTTCTTACCTAGCCTTAATCACTGAATGGCTGTTGCCTCAGACAGACTGAGACCTGGGAAAGACCTTAGCTTAAAAAGGCCAAGGTCTCCCATTGCATCTGGGGCCATCTCCAGGTGTCCTGATTTATATCTTACCGCTGGACCCAGATGGCTCTGGAGGAGAGAGTGAGGCTGGTGAGTTTGCATAGCCCTCCCTCACTTAAATCCCATTCTAAGTCATGGCATCACCTTCCAGATGTCATTGGTCCTTTTTGAGAACAAAGGATAAGCAAAGACATGCTGTTAACTCTCTCTCCACGTAAAAGTCAGATAATATAGGCATGACTGACTTTTTCTAAAACTAAAATTCCATTTTTCTATACCTGTACCAATGAAATCTTCCTCTGATTTTTCCAGCTGAAAGTTTGAGGCGGCAGCCTGTGGATTCTTTCTGTTTTAAATTGGCTTCTGATTGGAATAGATCTGTGTAGTTTTCATTTAACATTTCTTGAAATATGGGATCCAGTCTTTTTTAGGGATAGGGAAAGTCACGGATTTCAGGCAATCCAACAATAACTTTTAAATAATCTCTCTCCGACCTGGTTTCTGGATCAGTTGTTTTGCTTGGGATGTAACTTAGATTTTTTTTTCCCCCCTCCATCTTTTGATTTTGTTATAATGTGTCCTGTTGTCTCAGTGGGAGTAAATCCTTTGTTTGATCCATTCCAGTATTCAGGGAGTCTCTTATTTGGATAAGGCTTAGGAGCTCCTGTAGTAAGCTGTTTATTCTCTTTTCATTTCTTTCCTCTAGGTATGGCTTTCATTTCATTTGTCATCTCCTTTTTGGTCTCTTGCTTCATTTTTTCCAGGAATTCTTGTACTTCTTATGACTAAGCTGGTGTTTTGTTTTGTTTTGAAGTCTGAGACTTTGCTTGTAGTTGTTGTGGAATTATTTCCATCTTCATTTCTTGATCTTCTTCTGTTTATCCATATTGCCAGACTTCACTTGGATGGTGGGGCACTGTTTGTTTTTAACCTATGTTGTCTAGGTTCCTGCCTCTGGCTTTTACTTCCATTGACTGGCATCTGTGCTCAGGGTGCTGGCAAATTTCATGTCCACTTTTATCTTCTTGGTACAGAGAGCTGTATTCTTTTTTTTTTTTTGTGAGGCAATTGGGGTTAAGTGGCTTGCCCAGAGTCACATAGCTAGTGAATGTTACATGTCTGAAGCCACATTTGAACTCAGGTCCTTATGACTCCAGAGCCTGTACTTTATCCACTGCACCCCCTAGCTGCCCCCAGAGAGCTGTATTCTTAAAAGCTATCATTGGCACAGATCAAGAAATGTTAAATGAAAGCTACACAGATCTACTCTGTGCTATTGTTGGTGCAGCTGCAAACTCTTGGAAGCACTTACGTATTTTGGGTTCTGATTGCCTTGGACCTTCCTCATTGGAGCTCTCCAGTCTTCCTCCTTTCTTCAGGCCTCAACTATCCATGGAGGGTTTTTGGGTCTGCATTGGAGGACTTTGTAGTGCTGTACTCACTCAGCTTTTCTGATGGGCCCTTTCCTTAGTATCCATACGCTTCTAACTGTCCCCTTATGCAGATCTGGGTTTACAGTAGTTTCTCTTTAGATTTCTTGATCATTATTCAGTTTGGTGCTTTTTTTTCCTCCTGTGCTGGAGTACTTGTGTGAAAGCTGGGCTGTTCTGCTCTTCTTCACTCAACCACCTTAACTAGAAGTCACCTGCGTTTAAATACTAGGTTCTGCCATTGAGCAGGTCACTTAACCTCTCAGTCTCTCAGTTTCCTTATCAGTATATAATGAAGGGAATGGATTAGATGGCTTCTAATTTCATCAACACTAAATCTGTAGGTATTTTTCTCTTCTAACTCTGTAATCTTTTGATTCTATAATGTTTGTTTTATTTCACTAGTTGTTTTATTTATTCATAGTTGCTGATTCAACATTTTCTATTTTGTTTAGGCCAAAACAACCCTAAAAGTATTTCAGCTGAATGAGGAACGACTTAAAACATCAATAGAAGATGCGTTGGAAGAAAATTCCCATCTTCAGGAAAGCCAAAAACAGGTTTGTATAGTTCTCTGATTGAAGAGCACTCAAACTGCAAATGTCCCATCCGTGTAAATGGGGAGCTCAGGCTTGTGCCAGGGCTGATGATGGGTTGGTTCTGCATGGTAACATTACATTTTTTATAATCACTGTATTGCCTTTCCTGTGCCTATTAATGGTAGCAAGGTTAGTATGGGTTCTGTGTTCCCAATAAGTTGCACATGAATGTGACAATATAGAACCTTCTGTATCTTCCTTTTTGTTGAAAATAAGCACGCTTGACCCTCAATAAAACATGTAAAGTAGGTAAAGACTTTGTTGTGTAGTCAGTTTCACTTTTATAGGCTCTTTCCCACCCTAGTGACCTTTATCCTTCAGAAAGAAAAGTAATCTAGACAATAGTAATCTACTGTTAATCTAGTAATAGGCCCGCACTGATGGGGATCCACATCCATCAGAGGTCCTGAGCATCAGAGCAGAAGAGGTGTTAGAGGGCCTGTGCTTCCAGGGACTCAGCAGTCAGGTGCCACATTCTTACCCTGTCTGTAGGGTATCTTTTATATGTGCCTTATCTTTTATCATAGATGGAGCTGCTTCTTCTGTACAATCCCTACACCCCAATCTCCTCAGTATTAGGAGTGACAGGCTGTAGCAGCTGAAACTTCCATCTCTGCATGGACACAGTGCCCACTAATGCCTTGGAGTTACAGAGCCATAAAATTTGTTTTATATAAAATCTTTTCCCATCTTGGGGCAGGAACTTCTACTTCTTGCTCCCCTTATCCCTATGATTCAGAGTTGAAATTTGCTGAGGTGAAAATCTATTTTATCTGCTACCTCACCCTCCCTACCTGACCTGTTTAGTCCATCCCTTCTTCTTCTTCTTCTTCTTTTTTTTGTTTTGTGTTGGTGTGGCAGTTGGGGTTAAATGACTTGCCCAGGGTCACATAGGTACTAAGTGTCAAGTGTCTGAGGCAGGATTTGAACTCAGGCCCACCTAACTTCAAGGCTGGAACTCTATCCACTGTGCCACCTAGCTGCCCCAGTCCATCCTTCTACAACGTACGTATTTCCTTTTCCCTCTTATTAATTACATTATGTCCTGTGGACCTTTATTTTCATTGTTAATAGACTCCTCTTCTGCCACTCATGCAACTGTGGACAGCTTTCCAATGTGAATGACTGTTTTCCTCATGCCACCAGCACAGTGGGGAAGGAGAGAGAACAGTTATCCTGCTTCTTGCTGTCCATTGCCAGTTCCAGGTGCCCTCTTTGCTGCCATTTTTTGCTAGTGCTTCCTAGAGGTGTTCATGCCATCCAGATCCTTGTCGTTGTGATATATTTAACTCCACGTCTACCCTTCTCAAAGAATGCGATATGTGGCTCACAGTATTCCTTTCCACCCTCATACTTAAGGATTTTAAAATACAAAGTTATTTCCCCTCAAGCATCCTGGCCTTCTGGTGCATCAGCATCTTCATCTTCATTAACCCTCAGCCCCCTGTTCTTCCTTGCTCTACCTCTTAAAACTCTTTGGTATTGTCCCCACTGTATCCACAGCCAACCAAGAAAATAAGCATTTTTAAAGTACCTACTTTGTGCCAAGCAGTGTGTGAGTCCTGGAGATATAATTACAAAGAACAAAACAATACCTACTTACAAGAAGGTTAAATTGTAATGGGGGAGCCAGTAAGTATGTGTGAAATGGCATACACTATAAATATGAAGTGAATAAATACAAAGTAGAAGATAGTTTGAGAAGGATGGCACTCACTACATTTTGGGGAATCAGGAAAGGCTTCAAGTAAAAAAGTGGCACTTAAATTTTGTCTTTAAGAAGAGGGGGAAATACAACACATTGGTGAGGAGGGAATGCATTCCAAGCATGTGGGATGGCCAGTGCAAAAGGAGGTGGCGTGTCTGGTGTATTGTGTGTGAGAAGAGAGCCCTTCTCTACTTCCAGAGTTGTAGTCTGATGGCAGCAATTGCTAATTAGACATTTTCATAGTGAATGTATCATAGGCATCTCAAACTCAGCATCTCCGAAACAGAACTCATTTCTTTTTCCACAAAATCTACTTTTTTTTTTCAATTTCTATCAAGGCTATCCCTATTCTTCTAGTCACCCAGGTTTACAATGTCAGCATCGTCTTCACTCCCTATATCCAGTCGGTTACCAAGTCTTCTTAACTTGACTTCCCCAATATCTCTTACATCTGTGCCTTTCTCTCCATTTTGTTAGCTCAGTCCTTCATAACCTCTTACCCTGGACAAGAGCAGTCACTTCCTAATTGGACTCTCTGTCTCCATTATCTGCCCTTTTTAATCCACCTTCCACAGCTGCCTAGAAAACATAGGTCTGACTCTATTTTTCCCCTACTCAAGAAGCTCTAGTGCCTCTCTGTTGCCTCTATGATCAATTACAAGCTCATCTTGTTATTTAAAGGCTTTCCTGGTTCAGCTTTAGCATTATTCCATCCACCTACATTATGATTCAGTCAAATTGGCCTACCTGCAAACCTCAAATACATGCTGTTACATCTGTGGGGGGCCCACAGCTGTCCTCCAGGTCTGGAATGTACACCCTTCCCACCTCCTCTCCTGCCTCTTAGAATCCCTGACTTCCTTTAAATCTGAGCTCAAGCACCACCTCCTACGTGTGTCCTTTCCCTATCCCCAGCTGCTAGTCCCTTCCTCCCCTGAAATTAAAGTATATTTACTTTGTATCTGTAATTGTTTCCCCTAATAAAATGTATCCTCCTTGAGGGTAGAGACTTGCATTTCTTCACAGTGCTTGACACATAGGAAGGACTTAATAAATGCATCTTGACTGATTGATCACTGTGGATAGACTCTAAGATGTGGGAAATGTGTCACTGTATTGTCTGTGTTTTTAAAGTTATCGTCATCTTGGCATATCATTGTGCTTCTCCCCCAGTGTGCTAACCTGAAGGAAGTACATTTAGATGTCTGCAAGTCAAATGTAGTGTGTCCAGAACAGAGATCATTATCTTTATACCTCAAACCTAGCCCTTTTCCAGACTTCTGTTTCTTTTGAGGACAACAGTTTTACATCATTGAAGTCATATCTTTAACTCCTTACTTTCATTTATGCCCCATATCTAATCAATTGCTAAGTTTGGTCAATTCTACCTTGTCAGAGTTTCTTGCACCCCTCTTCTTCTCTCAAGGCTACCACCTAGTTTGGCTACTCTTCACTTATCACCTGCACTATTGAAATAGTCTCCTAATTCACAACCTGCTTTAGTTTCTCTCTTTTAAAATCTATCTGACATAGTTGCCAAATTGCCATTTTTGAAGCACTGATCTGACTGTATTATTCTCATTATTTACACAGTCTCCAGTGGTTCCTTTTTTCCTTCTAGGATAAAATACAAACTCAAAAGCTTGGCATGTAAAGCCCTTCACGATATGCTTCTAGATTATCTTTTCAGGCTTATTCATAGTCTTCCCCTTGATGCATTCTTTTTTTTTTTCTTTTAGGTAATTGGGGTTAAGTGACTTGCCCAGGGTCACACATCTAGTAAGCGTCAAGTGTTAGGTCTGAGGCAGGACCTCAGGTCCTCCTGACTTCAGGGCTGGTGCTCTGACCACTGCGCCACCTAGCAGCCCCTCCTTTCATGCATTCTGTGTTCCAGCCAAACTAGTCTGCCTTCTGTTCCCTAAACTCAACATTTCATCTCCTGTCTCCTTTCCTTTGTACAGGCTGACCCATGCCTGCAATGAATTCCCTTTTGCCTTTGCCTGTTAGACTCTAGGTTTCCTTCAAGTCTCAGTTCCTATGCCACCTCCTATGGGAAGTGGTTAGTTTTCCCTTCTCAGACTGCCGTATATATCTTTATCTAATTTATATGTTGCATCTCCCCAGTAGAATGTAAGCTCCTTGAGGGCAGGAATTGTATTTTCTTTTATCATTGTGTTCCCAGCCTCTAACATAGGGCCTTGCACATAGCAGATGCTTCATAAATGTTTCTTGGATTAGAGAATACTTGAGTTGAAAGAGTTCTCCTATCTGAGCATGACTAAGCGTGGAAAGTTGGTAGTAGAAACTAGGGATATTTCAGAGAGAATGACTGCCATGTGGCAAAGAAATGGAAAGAAGAATCAAAGCCTAGATGGCTAGAAAGATAGTGGCTCTCTCAGCAGAAACAGAAATTAGAGATAGAGGCATGTTTTAGGGGAAAGAAGGATGACTCCCAAATATCCAGCCCCATTTCTTTTCCTTTCATTCTTCTTTCCCCTTTTATTCATTTGTTTTTTTACATTCTTTTAAAAAAATTTTGATTTCCAAAGTCTCTTTCTCCTTGCCCCTTCCATACCCATTAAGAAGGCAAGTAATGATATCAATTATACATGTGAAATCATGCAAAACATATCCGTATTATCTATGTTGCAAAAAAGAATAAAAAATAAGAAATATAAACACAGTGCAAAAAAAGTATGCTTCAATCTGTACTCAGATTTCATCAGTTCTCTCTTTGGAGGTGGATAGCATTTTTCATCATGGATCCTTTGGAATTATCTTGGATCATTGTAGTGATGAGAGTAACTAGGTCTTCCACAGTTGATCATCTTACAGTATTGCTGTTACTGTGTACAGTGGTCTCCTGGTTCTGCTCACTTCACTCTGTATCAAATTATATAGGTCTTCTCAGATTTTCTGAAACTATCCTGTTTGTCATTTCTTATAATACAATCATATTCTATCACCATCCTGGACCCTGTACCACAACTTGGTCAGTCATTCTTCAGTTAATGGACATCCCCTCAATTTCCAGTTCTTTGCCACCACAAAAAGACCAACCCCATTTCTTATCTCTCTTCTGAGCATTCATCCATGTACCTCTGGTAGATATTTCTTCTTGGATGCCCTATTCCATAATATTCCATATGTGCTCTGACTGGGACAGCTTCTAAAAGCTTTCCCACTTAAATTTATGATTGTATGATTGTTAACTATATTGTCATTTATCTTATGACAAATGTCTAATGTAACTTAAAATGTATACATATGTCCTGTTTTCCTAATTAGTTTGTAAACTTCTTAAAGACAGGGAACATTAAAAAAACTCCAAACAAATAAAAACACTTAATGTGCATTCTTGTCCTCAGGCAAAGTACAGGTAGTAGGCGTCAAATAAATGTTACATTTATTTATTTATTTACTCAGCTACATATGTAAGTGGAAAATATACTAATTACTTTATGGGGATTCTAGCTTTTAGAAGAATCTAAAGGATGGAATGAACGATTGAATGAACTTAATGAACAGAAAAAAATGTTTGAAACTTCTAAAGCAAATATGGAGCAAATTATAACTAATAAAGAAAGTCAAATCAAGGTAAGTCATTTTGGGTTTGAGTTTTGGTCACTGTTTTTGGATTCAGTTGAATGTTTTACTTTCTTCAGCATTCATTTCATTCTACAACCATTTAGTAAGCTGTATAATTGAAAATTTTCCTGATTCTTATTTAGAATTTATTTGTGCAAACTAGATGAAACTTATCTACCATGAGGATACATATTCATTTTAGCAAATTAAAGTGTCATCTGGCTTTCTGCCAAGTGTTTTTTTAGAGTGAGATGCAGCAGTAGAATATTTAAACCATCCAGTTGCTGGACATGTATTCCAGAAATGTCAAAGATAGAGAGGTCTCATATACACCAAAATATTTATAGCAGCACTTTTTGTGTAGTAGTAAAGAAATGGAAACAAAATAGTTGCTAGTCAGAGAGTGGCTAAAGAAATGGTGATACATAAGTGTGCTGGAATATTACTGTACCATAAGAAGTGATAAATTTGAAGAATACAGAGAAGTGGGTGACTTCTGATCAAGATGGCATAGTAAAAAAAAAAAGGTACAAAACAGCTCATTTCTTTCATACATACTCCAGAAAAATTAAACAAAAGAAGGCCAAATCAAATAATGCTTAAGAAATAAAGAAAACCTACAGAAAAGGGATCACTTAGGCTCCTACAGGCACTAAGGAGAGGGGGACCTGGGCAGAGGAGCTTTTTGAGGCAAGGGCAGAGCTGATATGCCTTTCAGTTCCCAATCTCATAGTTTTCCAATCAGGAGCCAAGAATTAGAAGAATAACTAGGAGGTGCAAAATCTTGTTCAAATGATAGGACTTTAAAAAAAAAAAAGAAAAGAAAACCAAAAATGAAATAATAGGACTTCCTGAAAATGAGAGTGGATCAAACAGAAATAAGTGACATTATGAGACAATAAAAAACATTAAAATCAAATGACTGAAAAAATAGAAGAAAAGGTAAGTATCTCCTATTAAAAACAACCTACCTAGAAAACAGGTCAAGGAGAGATAATCTAAGAATTATTGGATTTTCAGAAAACCGTAACCAAAAAAAAGTCGGGGTATCATATTTCAAGAAATCATACAGGAAAACTATCTAGTCCTGTAAGAACCATAGGGGAAAGTAAAAATATAATCCACCAATTACCTCTTGAAAGAAACCTTAAAGTATATAGAGCCAAAATCCAGAGCTTCCAGGTTAAAGATAAAATACTGCAGGCTGTCAGAATGAAAGAGTTCAAATACCAAGGAACCGGAAAGACCATATAAAACTTAGCAGCTACCACACTGAAGAACAGGAAAGTTTAGAACATGAGCGAAAGATAGAGCTTTTCAATTAAGAGCTGGAAAAATTGAGTTGTAATTTCACTAGAAGAAACAATGGATCTTTAATGAAGTAGAGAATTTCCAGACAATCTTGATGAAAAGACCAGAGCTGTGTAAAATCTTTGATTTTTTTTTTTTGGTTAGACAGTGGGGTTAAATGACTTGCCCAGGATCACACAGCTAGTAAGTGTTATGTGTCTGAGGCTGGATTTGAACTCAGGTCCTCCTGAATCCAGAGCCAGTGCTCTATCCACTGTGCCACCTAGGTGACCCTGTGTAGAATCTTTGAAATGCAAATAGAAGTATCAAAAGAACTGTTAAAAAGGTTAAAGCAATTGGAAAGAGGAAGTATTTAATTATAATAGAGGGGGGAACAGATATCACTTCAGAACCCCAATGTTTTCAAAGTTCATAGAGGGATTAAAATAAGACAAAAAGAGGGATTGGCAAATTTTTTTTTACAACCATAAGTGAAGAAAACAAAGGGAAGGAAAAATAATACTTTAGAGGAAAAAAGGACAGTATTTGCTATTGCAAATAATGGGAGGATGTGGGAAAAAATGGCTGAATCTGTGAGGGGAGCAGGTATCATAATTGAATTTTGAATTCAATTTTGAATTAGTAAATTTTGGAAATCAAGAGATGAACAAAATTGAAAGCAAAAACACCATTACGCTAATAAAATAAAACTAGGAACTGATCTAAAGAACCTCAAAATTAGTAAACAACTGATAGGATTTTTTTTTTTGAAAAAGAGAATGGAAAACCAAATTGCCTGCTTCAGAAATGAAAAAAATAATTCACAACAAATAAAGATGAAATAAAAGTATCAAAATTATCCATTTTACATCTTGTAATGCTCTTTATCTCATGTTTGGTCAAAAATTCTTCTCCATAAATCTGACAGATAAACTATTCCTTGCTCTCCTAATTTGCTTAACAGTTTTTGCACAAACAAAACCAGTGCAACCAAAATTAGAAGGTGGGAGAAAGCTGGGAAGCAATTTTTACCACAAGTGTCTCTGATAAAGGTCTCATTTCTCAAATATATAGAGCACTGAGTCAGATTTAAAGAAAACAAGTCATTCTCCAGTTGATAAATGATCAAAGGATATGAACAGGCAGTTTTCAGATGAAGAAAGCAAAATTATTTATAGTCATATGAAAAAGTGCTTTAAATCACTATTGATTAGAGCAGTACAAATTGAAGCAACTCTGAGATACCACCTCACACCTATCAGATTGGCTAATATGACAGAAAAGGAAAATGATAAATGTTGGAGGGGATGTGGGAAGATTGGGACACTAATGCAATGTTAGTGGAGTTATGAACTGATCTAGCCATTATGGAGAGCAATTTGGAACTGTGCCCAAAAGGCAATCAAACTATGCATACCCTTTCATCCAACAATACCACTATTAGATTTGTATCCCAAAGAGATCATAAAAAAGGGAAAAGGACTTATATGTACAAAAATATTGATAGCAGGTCTTTTTGTGGTATCAAAAAATTGGAGATTGAGAGAATGCCCATCAGTTGGGGAATGGCTGAACAAGTTGTGGTACATGAATGTAATAGAGTACTATTGTGCTATGAGAAATGACAAATAGGATGACTTCAGAAAAACCTGGAAAGAGTTGTATGAACTCATGTAAAGTGAAGTGAGCAGAACCGGGAGAACATTGTACACAGTAACAGCAACGTTGGTTGATGATCAGCTATGAATGACTTATCTCTTCTCAGAAATACAATGATCCAAGACAATTCCAAAGTACTCACAAGAAAAAATGTATCTACATCCACAGAAAGAACTGATGGAATCTGAATGGAGATCCAAGCATACTATTTTCACTTTATTTTTTTTGTGTGTGTATTTTTTTTTTCCTTTTGGTCCGTTTCTTCTTCCACATCAGGACTAATATGGGGAAAAAAAAGATAGTGTCAGAAATTGTTTTGCACAATTACATGCCAACAAAATGAATTACTTAGATGAAATTATATATGGGATATATATACATATATGTATATATAAAATGCTCAGATTAACAGAAAAAATAATTTAAATAACTAAAATTCTAGAGGAAAAAATGAGCCATAAATTAAAAAAAACCCCCAAGACCAGATAGTTTTTCAAATGAATTCTATCAAACATTCAAAGAACAATTAATTATAAGGCTATGTAAACTGTTCTAAAAAACAGGAAAAGAAAGAGTCTTAAATAACCTTCTTCTATGATATAAATAAGGTTTTGGTCCCTAAAGCAGGGAAAGACAAAGCAGAAAACAATTGTAGACCAATACTTCCTGATGAATATTGATGCAAAAATATTAAATAAAATATTAGGACAAAGGCTACCTTGATGTATTAAAAAGACTATACATTATGACCAGATTGAATTTATATCAGGGACATAAGTAGTTTCAGTACAAGGAAAATTATATTAATGTATTAGTAATGGTAGCAATAATATGATTGTATCAGTAAATGCTGGGAAAAGCTTTTGATATGTAGAACTCAACATTCCATTAAAAAATTAGAAATCATAAGAATGAATGAGATTTTTCCTTAACAAAGTAAATGGTGTTTATCTAAAACCCATGGTCGATGTTATATATAGAGAGAAATGTTAGAGATCTTTTTTAGTATGAACAGAGGTTGATAAAGGCAAAAATGTCCATTATCACAGCTATTATTTGATATAGTGCTAGAAGTGCTGCCTATAGCAATAAGACGAGCTGGAAATTGAGATGATAGGCGAGGGTGAAGAGAAAACAGCTGTTGCTTTTTGCAGATGGTATAAAGTTCTTGTTAGAGAATCCTAGATTCAACTAGAAATTAATTGAAACAATTGACAAATTTCAGCAAAATAGCAGGTCTGTTAAATCTTTAGCTTTTCTCTATATTACCTCCAAAAAAGGTACACAGAAAAAAATAGAGAAATTCTGTTCAAAATAACTGTTGAATATATGAAATAATTTGGAGTCTATGAAGACACACACAGGAATTATATGAATGCAACTATAAAATAAAGACTGACCTAAATTCTGGGTAGATCAAGGCAATATAATAAATGTGACACTAGTACCTAAACTAGTCATTGCCATACCAATCAAGCTACCAAAGGATTGCTTTTACAGAAATAGAAAAAATAATTTTAAAGAATTCATCAGGAGGAGCAAAAGGCCAGGAATCTCAAGAGAAATAATGAAAAAAGGTTATAGGGAAGGAAGCCTATCAGTACCAGATACCAGATACTTTAAAGTTGTAATTATCAACCTATTTGGTACTAGTTGAAAAATAGAAAAAAAAAAGTCACTGGAACAGGTTAACATTGTAGCATAGTGTTCAGTAAACCCAAAGACCCTCCAGCGGGTAGGAGTTTGTTATTGGACAAATACTGCTGGGAAACTTGGAAAGCAGTCTGGCAGGTATTAGGTTTAGCCCCAAACCTCTAACCACTTGCAAAATGAGCAAATGGATACATGACTTCGAAAGTTGTATCATAAACACATTGGAAGAGCAGAGAAGATTCCTTTTTGCAGTTATGAGTTGGCGAAGAGTTCCTAAACAAGGGATAGAGAGAATCACAAAAAAGGCAAAATGGACAATTTTGATTATATACAATTAAAAGACTTTTCCACAAATAAAATCAGGGCTGTTAAAATTAGCAGGAAAACAATTTACTAGGGAAAACTCTGTAGCAGCTTTCTCTGATAAAAGTCTAATATATAAGGAACTGATTCACCTAATAGATAAGCCATCAAAGGATATGAATAGGCAGTTCTCAAATATAAGCTCTCAACAGTCAAATGAAAAGTAATTAGAAATACAAATGAAAACAATCCTAAGGTTCTATTTCACCCCCATCAAAGTGGCAAAGATGACGAAAAGAGAAAATGACTGTTGTTGGAGCAGCCCTGGGAAAACAGGCAAATGTTAACTACTGTACTTCTGATCAGGCCTTTCTTGAAAGTAATTTGGAATTGTACTGCAAATGTCAATAGACTGCATTTTGACTCAGCAATAGTACTAGCTTTTTGTTCTAGGAATATGGAAAGGGTTTTGGATCAGGCTGATATGTGGTGAGGTAGGAGGCAAGATAACTGGATGAGATGTAAAGCTGAAGTATGATCTGCTATCTAGGGCCAGTGAATAGAGAAAGTGGGCTAGCTTATTGACTTAGTCACCAGTTAACTGTGTAGGGCCCTGGGGTGGGTAGGTCTCCAGAAATGAGTGGATTAACTTCCCAAGGGCCTGGTGCCTGGATTCAAGAAGATTAGATATAGCAATCCAGGTCTCAGGTCCACTGTGGAGAGGGTACAGTAGGCAGATGGAGAGATGGTCAGTGGCAGGATAGGATGTGACAATGAAGTATGGCCTAGTGTTTTGGGCCAGCCAGTAGATATGGTGGACTAACTAGGCTCGTTTGCACACATTCAATTTACCATTCTAGGGTCTTAGGACAGGAGCTCCAAAGATGAGTCAATCGACTTTCCCTGGAAGGCACTGATTCAAGAAGAACAGGTTGTGGAGGTCTGGGTCTCAGGTACATGTAGAGGATTGCAGGTCCAAGGAGGAAGGAGCCCAGGTTAGCAGCAACAGGCAGATGGTGAGATGGTGTGACTTGAGTGGGAATCACAGCTGAAGTAGCAAGGAGTAATAGACACCTTCCTAGGCTAAATAGATTATACCAAAATGCTGCTCTTGTTAACATTTGGGGAACTCTTCTTTAGTGTCTGTAGCACATTCTTTTCAATATTCTTCATCCTCTGAGAATAAATTTGATTTTTGGAAATAGCCAGAAGTAATCTGGAACCAGGTTTCATGATGTAGTTTTTGGTTTAAAAAAAAAAAAAGGCAAAACTAGGACCAAAAAGGTTTTTGTTGTTGTTCCATACAGATAGCACACTGTGAATTTTAGATCATTTTCATAATGAAATGACTGATTATTTGGCCACAATTGACTTTTCTTTATGTAGGGCTTTTCAAGGAATCTTAAGGAATTTCTATATAATAAGCCTCCATTGACTAGAGTGAGAGAAATTAGTCAACATTTTTCTAATTTCTGATTTCTTTTCACTTGCTTGTTTTTTAGCATTTGGGGAAAGTCCAGAGCAGAAAGTTTGTTTCTGGGTCATATTGAATATATCATATTTCATTGCATTTTGAGTATTAAAGTGGGTTGTATTGAATGTACGATGTTTTATTATATTTTCCTCAGAAATGAGTTATTTTATCTAGTTTCCCCCAGAAGGTTAGAACAAAGACCTCATTGTTTTTGTTAATCATTGTAAAAATGTAGTAGTCTACTGAAACTTTCCTTATATTCAGATTTTCTGTTCAAATGAGGCTATTTTTAAAATCTAAGTTTTCATCTCTCACTATTACTTGTCTCATTTAAATAAATCATGTCTGAATTTTGCAACATTTTAATAAGTCCTGTGAACGATTTGAGCACTATCTCATTCCTCATCTTTTATGCGCATCTTCCCTAACTTTATTTTTGTGCTCATTAGAATTCTTATCTTTCAGTTTATTTCATCCTCACAAGCCTTTTTAAAACTCCCAGTAGTCTCAGTTACAGATTTTTTTTTTATTTCTTTGTTCTAACTTTTAGAGAATTATAGTGTGAAGCAAAATACAGTCTTCGTTTTTATTTACCATAGCTGCTAGTACAAAACTGGTTAATCTTGAAAGTACTTCAGCAGCAAATGCAAACATGTTGTAAGATGTTGCTTCTGTGATCACTTTTTCTATGACTACCTTTCCCCCCAAAATCACATAAGAATTTTTTGTTTCATTACTTTGTGGTCACATACCTAGGAGGATGGGGTGGCAGCATGTGGTTTGGAAAAATTAATTTTGGTTAGTAGAACTAATTAAATGGCTGTGAAATATACTATTTTGTTTAAAAGTTTATTTGTTCAGTCTAATGCTTACATATATTTTAATGGTATAGATGCGTACTAGAAATGTAATGTATTAATTGCTAGATAGAGTACACACAGTGTAAATAAAGGATAATTTGAAATCTTATTAACATGATAATCAAAATCACCTTTATTTTTTCCTTTTTGGTAAATCTTAAGTCTCTGACGGAATGCTTGCTGAAGATGAAAGATTGGGCTACTGCACTGGGGGAAGATAATGTCAATGATAATTATTGTGAAGCTGAAATAAACAGTGACTCAGCAGTTGGAGACCATTTAGGTATTTTGAAGTTAACTTTTGCTTAAAAATTTAAGTGGGTTTTTGTTTGTTTTCAATAATTTTGATATGTGTAATGCCCACTAATAAAACCAGGAAAATCAAACACTTGAAGTGTGTCTTGAGTAAGTAGATCAAAAATATTTTCTTTGCAGCATTTAGAGCTTAATACTCTGATTTTAGGGAGACTTTATACTGTTACTGCTATTCTTGGTTGAGATCTAGAGAGGTCAGAGTTATTTTAATATGCTGAAGCCCCTTTCACTACATTTTTAAATTAAGATTCCTGACTTTAATGTTACATACCTTTTCCTTTTTGGTTGGAGGTGGAAAGAAGAGTGTAAAAGAGTAGCAAATGTTGTTTTTCTAAAACTTGTATTTTTCATATTAGCACTTACATGTTGAAAAAAAGTTATCACCCTAAACTAAACATACTTAATGCTATCTCTTGATCATTTGTCCTCCATTTAACCCATTACAAAATCATTTATATGAGAGGAAAGAATTATTTTCTAAATCTTATTTTAATTCACACTGCGATTCAGTTGATATTTTGATGTCATAGGATGCCAAGAAGAGTTAAGGAAATTAGTAATAAACAGCGACCTTGTTTATAATTCTCCTTTTGCATCCCAACTCCTACCATGCTATGGAACTGTATGAAATGTTATAATGGGATCTTCTGGCATTTCTGTTGATATGTCCCAAAGAACAGGTACAAGGCAGACCTCTCTTATACTAAATTCCTCATTATAGCTGTAAGTGTTATAGTAAAGCCCCAGTGTAGCAAATTTATAACAATAAATTGGCTAAAAGTGTCATGGCAGTGTACTATTTCCTTGATTTATTGTTTTATGTCTGTTCTTATTAATTACTGTAGATGATCACCAAAAACAGACAGTGAAAAAACTGATTTATGCTGCTAAGGTATGTATTGCCTAATGATATAAACAGCATGTGAAAGGGATAAACAGAAAGCTAGACAGCTGTATCCATTTTAATTCCATAAAATATAGCAATACAAACACAGTTAAGAATTGAACAGAATTGTATTCATAGATTTTTTATTATTGAAGGATCACTCAAATGTCTGAATTTCATAAATCCTTACTTTCAGCTTTTAGCATTTTTTATAACAAATTCCCAGGTTTGTTTCAGAACTATTTTGTCACCTTATTTGTTTACATTTGCACAGTATATTTCTTCCTTTACTCAATTCACTTTTTCCTCCTATTAATCTCCATCTTCTGCCCCGTTTTTTGTAATAAGTACAGGATACATTTTTTTCATGTTATCTTTATTTCCCCATTAGTAATTAGCTTTTTCAGATGCTACAGTCCTAATATTCTATGAAGTCTTTGTAAAAAGCTTTTCAAGAAGTATAAATTGTGTTTGATTAAAACTTTTTTGCTGAAAGTAAAGAGGTTACTTAGCCACTGTATGTACGTCTTCAGCTGCTCTTTATTGACTCTTCAGGGGCTTTTCTTTGGGTGAGTTTCTGTTGGTTATAACCCAGCAGCTTGAGAACACCAGGCTTAATTGGCCAAGAAATCTTTCTTTATAGTCATCCTTCTAGATCCATGAAGTGGTAAAATACTTTGGAAAAAATGGAGAGGAAATTGTGTGAGTAAATAGTATAAATATTTATAATGATAAATGTTCCTTTTTTTTATTTTAAAAATATTTTATACTTTAAAAAGTTGAATACTAGTTTAAAAACCCTGGAAGCAGAAAGGAACCATATATATTCTCAGTTGTCTGATGAAGATAAAATAAAGGAAGAGCTTAAAGGTAATCCATTTACGTTTATTTACAGACATTTGTTTTTAAAAGTCATTGTTTGTCTCTATACAAACATAACGTCAAGATTGATTCCAACTTTTGGGGGTAATTGTAATCTTGTTTTGAGCTTTTCAATTTTGAAGGAATATGTTAAGTTTATTTCTGATTGTTTTGTGAAGATTTTTTAAAGTTCTCTCATTTATATTCAAACAACTTAACATTTTAACTAGATTTGTCCAAGTTATGCTGTGGTGTATTAAATACAGTTGTAGGTTAAACATGCTCTAAAGGGGATTTTTAAAGAAACCTTTTCAATACATAATTATATAACCTAGTGACATAAATTTTAATTTGTCCACAAACAAAAGTGACACAGTGCCTTCCATTTTTAATTAATTACAAACTAATAATAATTACTGACATTTATATAGAGCTTTAACAACTTTTTGCAGATGAGGAAACTGAAGGTGAGCAAGTTAAGTAGCTTTATGATCATGTAGTTAGCAAATGTTAGAGGATTTGAATCCTCAAGTCAGTGATTTTCCTGACTTGGAGTCTATCACTCTCCACCAAGCTGCCTATTCAGAGTAGATCCATTAGAGAAGGGTTGCCTCATTTTGTATACATTCCTACCATACTTTTGACTCCTAAATGTACACTGGAGTAACTTAATATTGAAACTGAATGTTTACTAGTCCTGTTTAAAACTTTCATACTCTTTTTTATTTCACAAAGCTGACAAAGATGGACCAACTTTCTTTAAAATTTTAAGTCAGGGGAGACTTCACAGAGTAGATGACATCTGAGCTTAACCATGAATGAAGAGAAAGATTAACTGTGAAAGATGGGGATTGGGAGGGCGTGTTTCCCAGGCATGGGCTGTGTATGGCCTGTGACATGGGAAAATGATGGAAGATAGAATATTGAGTTCAGAGAACAACTAGTTTGACTCAAATATAGAATATGTGAAGGGAAGTGATGTGATGATGAGACAAACTGACTTTGGAGTTAGGTTGTGGAGCGTCTTTAAAGCCAGGCTGAAGAGTTTGAATTTTATCCTAGAGGCAATAGGGAGTAACTGAAAAGTTTTGAGCAGGGAAATAACATTGTAAGATGTGTACCTGAGAAGATTATTTTGATAGCTAAGTGGAAAATGGTTTGAAAAGGGGAGAAACTGGTGGCAGGGAGACCAATTAGCTCTCTGGTAGTTCAGACAAGAAGTGATGAGGGCCTTGGAGGTAGCCTTGAGTAGAAATAAAGGGGATGGAAAAGAGAGATCTGGATATAAAATGGATTGGACATGTAGAGCAAAGAAGAGAAAAGAGTTAAGAAGTACTCCAAATTCACAAATGTAGGTGATTGGGAAGATAGTGGTGTCCTCAACAGAAAAAAAAGGGAAGTTTGAAGAAGAGGATTATGAGTTCAGTTTTGGACATGTTGAGTTTTAAATGCTGACAAGACATTCTTGGTGGTACAGGAATGAGATTATCCACATAAAGATAATAAATCACAAACTCATCGAATTTTAGAGTTGTAAGTGACCTCAGAGGCCATGTGTAGCCCATACTTGAGGATAATTCTTTCTGCTATGCAGTGAATAGAGTTGGCCTCAAAGCCAGAAAGATCCAGGTTCAAATCTTGCCTTTGACACATATTGGCAAATGACTGTGGGCAAGTTATTTAACTACTCAGTGCTTCAGGCAGCTCTCAAGAGTAGGTTGCAGAGAAGGTGCTGACCTGCCTTGGTAGAGCAAGTTCCTACACCCATGAAATCACGAGTCTAATCCCTATTCCCCTACATACTTGACAAGTGTTCGTCCAGCCTTCATTTAAAGACTTCGAGTAAGGGGGAACTTACTATTCTGAAGGTAGCCTATTCCAGTTTTAAATAGTTATAATTGTTAGAACCCCCCCTTATGTCAAGCCTAAGTGTCACCTTTGCAACTATCCATTGCTCCTGGTTATGCCTTTCTTCAGCCAATTCTCATGTGACATAAATTTGATACCTGTCACTTCCCTCTGTATATTTGTCCTCCTCTGTATATTTTCCAGCCTATCAGTGTACTTGCTATAATGTGGCACCCCCAAATCAAACACAATACTTAAGATATGGTATGACTATGGAAAAATGCAGAATGCCCTCAGTGGTCCTGGAAGTTATGTCTCTTTCTGTGCAGCCCAATATCACATTGGTTTGCTCAGCTGCCATACCGTACTGCTGACTCATATGAATCTTGCAGTCCACTAAAACCTCCAGATTTTTTTCAGATAAATTGCTCTTTATCAATGATTCCCTCCTCTAGTATTTATGAAGCTGATTTATCTCTATTATATTTCATATTATTAGATTAATCTAAGTATCATAGACCGTTAAGTCTTTTTTGGATTCTGGATTTTGTCATCTGACATATTAGCTATGCTTCCTAGGTTTGTGTCATCTGCAGATTTGATAAGCATCTTGCCTATGCCTTTTCATCAGAGGCATTGTTAAAAATTCTAGACAGCAGGGGCAGCTAGGTGGTATAGTGGATAAAACTCTGGCCTTGGAGTCAGGAGGACCTGAAATCAAATCCGGCCTCAGACACTTTGACACTTACTAGCTGTGTGACCCTGGGCAAGTCACTTAACCCCGATTGCCCCACCAAAAAAATAAAATAAAATATTCTGGATAGCATAGCACCAAGTCACAGATACCTGGGGCCATCTGCTGGAGACCTTTTTCCACATTGACATCTAACCATTAATTCTTTGGGATTGAACATTCATTCAGTTGTGAATTCATTTAATTGTATTATCATCTGGCCCATATCTCTATGACTTTTCCATAAGAATAGGTTGGGAGACTTTTACCAGTGCTTATCTAAAATTTGAAGTAATTTAAGCTTTGGAATTTTGCTTATATGACAATAATAACCCTGTCAGAGAAGGAATGAAGCTTAATCTGTGATGATGTGTTTTTGATGAAGCCATGTTGGCTCTTTACATTGCCACTCCTTTTTCTAGATTTCAGTTGAACTTAGGGAAGTGGATTAGATCATCAAGGGAAAGAGTATAGAAAGAGAAGAAAGTCGAGCCTTGGAAGATAGCCATGCTTGATGGGGGATGGGGGATCATCCATCATAGGAGCTTTAGAAAGAGTGAGCAGACAGCTAGGAAGAGAAAGCAGTGCCACAGAAGCCCAGAGAAGAGAAAATATTTGGAGGAGGGGATAATCAGCAGCATCAAAAGCTACCACGAGATTAAGGAGACTCTTAACCAAGAAAAGGCCATTAGATTAATTTCATTTAAAATTGTTTCAATAACATTTTATTTTGAAACGTCACTTCCCAACAAAGAAATTTCTTCTAGTGTGATACTTTCCTTAGGGTTAGGAAAAGGGGTGGGGGATTAAACCTGTGATTTCATTAATATAAGAAACTCCCAGTTGAGGAAATTCCTTTTACTTATGTAAGTCAGCACTTTCTCTGCAACTTAATAGAATTATAGAGTTCCCTGCATGCCAGAATGTGTCAGGAGGCAAAACTTGAACTCAGGTCTTCCTGGCTACGTGGTTAGCTGTCTTATCTACTGTGTCCCCTCAAAGTGTAGTGGAAAGGGTGCTATACTTGTATCTGTGGGACTTGCATTTTGTTGATTATTTCCTGTGACCTTGGATAACTTAACTGTAAAATGAAGGGGATTGATCTAGGTTTCCTCTGAAGTCTCTTCCAAGTCTAGATCTATTATTCTATGTTCTATTATCATCCTAAGTACCTTCCCATAGAGGGAAAAATATTTAAGCAAAACTGTTTAATAGAATGATTGCAACTGATGTTACTTTCTATTTTTTGTAGTTTCTGTTTGTTAGCAGAATGGAAATATGTACTTTATAATGTGAAACTAGCACTACCCATTATATTTGACATGATTTTGTTGCCTTTTAGTGTTTTTATTCACACTGTATAATTATTTTTTATTGTTCTAGTTCTGCTTTGTTTACTCTGCATCATTTCATAGAAATCTTCCTTTGCTTCTCTGAATTCTTCATACTTCTCATTCCTTGGAGTAGGTTTCTCTGATAAAAGTCTGATATCCAAGATGTCTAAGGAATTGATGCAAATTTATAAAAACAAGAGCCATTCTTTAATAAATATATGATGAAAAATAGGAAAAGGCAGTTTTCAAAGAAAGAAATCTGGCCTATTGACCAATACAAAAAAATGTTCTTGCAAATCACTAGAGGAATAAAAATTAAAATAATTCTGAAGTTCTAACACACACCTGTCAGATTGGCAAAAGTTACAAAAAGGAAAAATGACAATTGCTATAGGTGTAGTAATGCATCATTAGTGGAGCTATGAATTGGTCCAGTCTTTGTAGAAAACGGTTTAGTACTTCGCCCAGAAAGTCACTGAATTGGGCTTACCCTTTGACCCAGCAGTGCCATTACTCTGATTATATTCTGAAGAGATCAAAGAAAGAGGAAAAGGACCCACAAGTACAAAAATATTTATATCAACTCTTTTTGTATTGGCAGAAAACTAAGAACAAAGAGTGTGCCCATAAATTGAGTAATAGCTGAAAAAGTTATGGTATATGAATGTAATGGAATATTATTGTGTCATGGGAAATGATTAAAGAGACTTTTTCCAAAAAACCCGGAAAGGCTTGAATGAACTGATGCAGAATGAAGTGAGCACAACCAGGAGAACAATTTTTATAACAACATTTATACTTAAGAATTCTAGGAGCAGCTAGGTGGTGCAGTGGATAGAGCACTGGCCTTGGGGTCAGGAGGACCTGAGTTCAAATGTGGCCTCAGGCATGTAGCACTCACTAGTTGTGTGACTCCGGGCAAGTCACTTAACCCCAATTGCCTCACCAAAAAAAAAAAAAAAGAATTCTGATCAGTACATTGATTGTGGAGGGCCAATGAGGAAGCATGCTCCCCACTGACAGAAAGGTGGTACACTCAAGGTGCTGAATGAAACAGACTTTTTCAAATGTAGCCAATGTGGAGATTTGTTTTGCTTGACTATGCATATTTATTACAGAGGTTTTGTTTTTTAATGGGCCTGGGGAATGAGGAATAGAAAGAAGAGCTAGGAATGGGGTTGAAGAAAGAAGAAAGAAAAAAAGTGTAATTGAAACATGTTTTTTTTTGTTTTGTTTTGTTTTGTTTTTTGAAATTCACAAGAGAGAACAGCAGAAAGGCCAGAAGTGATCACAGAAGCAGAACAGCTTTGAAAGGAACATTTTGAATTTATTATGTGTTTTAAAAGAAAAGCAAGCTGTCCATAATACAGATTCACATTTTCATTATACAACTTTCTTTGTTCTGTTGTGACTGTGGAAGTGCTCATTTTAGTTGATATTTGTTCAAAATTTTTAAATGGAAAAATTTTTTTAAATAACTGAATAAAGGTAGGCAATATTAAATTTGCTTCTGAAACTCCTATCTCAAAGATTTCCTTAGGACTTTTCTTCATTATCCTTCACTGCAATTTGTGAAATATTGGTTAAAGGTAATGTAATTAGAGCCCTTTAGGTCTCAGGGAGGTTTAAGATGGTGAAGCGCTAGTTGTGGACAGTCTACAGAAAACATTCCAACAGCTTTGGTGTTTTCCATATTGTGCCTGCACTTTTTGGTTGTATTTTTGAGCACTCTCTTTTCTTTGGTTTATTTTAAGTGGGTACAACTTTTTCTAGATATTTGTCTCCATAGAGAGGTGAGTGCATCACCCCCATTGCTTTTAAATATTTTAGGTTACTAGGTTTTTTTTCTTTGTGAAGTGTTATTTGGTTCACAGTACTAAGTCTTTAGGTTTTGACTTTTGTCCTTGACAAATTCCACAGGTCAAATTGAGGTTCTTCAGACTGAGCAAGTGTCTTTGCAGACTGAAAATGCATATTTTGAGAGTGAGGTGCAAAACCTTCAGCAAAAACTTAAAGTAATGACTGAATTGTATCAAGAAAATGAAATGAAACTTCATAGGTACTAATAAGATTTTACCTTCCTTCTTTTTATTATTGGTAAATGAAATCTAAGAAATTTTTGAATGTCAAACTTTTAGCATGTATAATTTGATTTTATAGTACTACATGGAGATGATAGCCCCCTATTTAGGAATATAGGTTGTATTCCAGAAGTTCGTTTGTATTTTTGTATTAATATATTTTTTCCATAGAAACTAGGTTAGAAATTATACTTAGATTCTCATTCTAGTCCCAAAAAATTTTATAGGAGTACTGTTGAGAACCCAGTGGTTGGAGATGTTTGGGGAGCCAAGTGGGTGCTGCAGAGGCTGGTCAAGTCCAGCTGTAGTCCTGAAGAAAGGCTTCTGTGAGGAATTTTCAAAAGTCAAGTATTTAATTTGGAGACTGCTTATATGTGTATATGTATATATGCATGTGACATATTGTGTTTGTATGTAGATACATGTATATCTGTGCATATATATACACATACACGTGCACACACATATATATAAAAATAAGAAAAAAATTTGGCAGGGGTGAGGTGGGGTGGTAGTCTGTGATTTTCTTGGGATAGCAAACTCCCAGTGAGAAAGCGTCTTCTATTATCACAGATCCATAGTAACTCTGCAACTTAGAGTCTTGGAGAGTTGCCTTGGCATTGTTTTACTAGAATTTGACAGAAGTAGCCCTGTAGATGACTTTAAAAGTCTAGCAGTCTACCTAATGACATGCTTTCCTCATCTATACTGCTCTACACAGAAGATATGAGCCAGATAAAGGAATACTTACATTTAGGTTCATTTTAAGGAGGCTATGTGGATTTTTTGCACATAAAATAATGCTCCATATATATAGCTTAAGGATTTTTTTATTGTTTTAAGTTCATTGCAAATTATAGAATTTGAACTTATGATTACCAAAGTTAAAAAACATTTTTTTTAATGTTCATGAAGTTGAGGGGCAGGGAGGGGTGAAATAGTTCTAGATAGAACTAGATTGCTTTTTTCCGTAGAAGTAATGCCATAAATGTTGTTTGTATGTAGTTGTAATAATAATGATGATGATGATGATGATGATGATGAGTACTATACTTTGGGTACATTTATAAATAGTATTTGTGATCTAGCATGGGGATTTACCAACTTACAAACAAACTTTCAGAACATAAACTGCTCATAAGTTAATGACTGTTCTGTAAATACAGTGCTTCTTTAGGATGCAAAGTTATAAGACCAACCATAGCTCCAGAACTCTTTTTTTGACAGCCTTTTTTCAGCAGCTTAAAGAGAAGACTCTTTACAATGGTAAACTCAAAAGGTTTGGTAACAGCCAGTTCTGTAATTTGAGGTTATGACCAGTTCCAAGCTAGGTAGTATTTATACAAATAAGACTTACAGGAAATGATTTTTTTTTTGGTAGAGGGGCTGATGAAACATTGATTAAAAACAAAGGTATTTTTGTTTTAAGGAAGTTGACTGTGGAAGAAAAAGACCGCTTACAGAAAGAGGAGAAACTTTCCAAAGCCGGAGAAAAGATTAGTCATGCTTCTGAAGAGCTTAATTCTTACAGGTACTGATAGACCTTAGCTTTGCTTTTTGTTGGTCTTTATTTAGTATCTTACCTAAAGAAAACTACAAGTTAAATATAAGCTTCATAATACAACTGAACAAAATTTTGTTTGGTTACTTTGAAGTTCTGTGATCTGTATATATGTATGGGGGAGAAAGTCCTCAAGTTATATAATTTTAAGTTTCTTCCTTTGTTTCTTAGTGAATGATCTCCAGAGACTAATCTTTTTTGTATTAGTATTAAGATTTTTTTTGGTCCACAAAAAAAGACTTATGAAAGGCTTTGAATGTCAAAACAAAGGATTTAAATTTGATTCTGGGGGTGATAGGGAGTCACTGAAGTGAGTAGGAAGGCAACATGGTCAGACCTGTGCTGGGGATGATCAGGTTGACATCTGAGTACAGGAAGGACTGAGTTGGAGTAGAGGGAGACCTAAAGCAGACAGACTAACCAGAAGACTATTGCAGTAGGTAGACCAGGCATGAGGTAAGAAGGCTTGCACCAGAGTGGTGGCAATGTCGGAGGAAAAATAGACAGGACTTGCCAACAGATTGGACAGTAGGGTTTGAAAAAGTAAGGAGTCAGGGATAACATGTAGGTTGGGAGCTTGATTGCCTGGGAGGCTGGTGGTACCCTCAACAGAAATAGGAAATTTAGGAAGTAGGGAAGGTATGGGAGGAAAGATGATGAGTTCAGTTTTGGACACGTTGAATTAAAGATGTCAACAGGACATGCGATTTGAGATTTCCAAGAGGCAGTTGGAGATGTGGGACTGGAGATAGCAGAGATGTTAGAGTTGGGTTAAGTCATTCTGAGAACCGTCAACAGAGAGGTGATAATTGAATCCAGGAGAGTTGATGAGATCACCAAGTGAAATAGTACAGAGAAGAAGGCATCACATTTCCATTTTAAGAAGTGTCATCTCTTAATAGTTGATGTTTAGAAAATGGGGTTATTTCTTTCCTCTCAAATTTGCATATGCTACCCTGAGACTAATAGGTTCTCTGAAATTTTTAAAAATATATAATTCCATATATCTTGACAATCATTTTCATCTGTCATGCTTCTAATGATCAGAAAACTGCATTTGAATAAGGATTTGATTTAGTGGATTGATAGTCATACCTTAAATTTTCAATTAATGATAAAATGGACTCAACAGGGAAAGATAATTTTAATTTAAAATTTCTAGAAAGTAATTACTTCATGTAAGATATTTTTTGCTTATTTCTTATATGAATAGTTATAGAACTCCTAATGCTATGGACATTTTTAGTTCAAATAGTATATTTTGCTGTTTCTTAATTTTTTAGTAATTGTGATTATATGTTTACCACAGAGAACGAGCCAAGGATCTTGAAGAAGAATTGGAAAGGACTGTTCGTTCTTATGAAAGCCAGGTATGGGTGGGAGGAGGGAAGACTTTTTTTTCTGAATTGACTGAATTAGTATTTCTGTCTCGGGATAGTATAGTTTAGGCACTTCTACCAGGGAACCCTTTCCTGGGCTAGTTGGTCATGACAAGGAATATTACAAAGATGCTTATGGTTCTATCATAGAATGTCTTCAAAATTACTATGTCCTGTACTTCTCCAGGGAAAATCCCAGAAGGGGAAGGGTCAGTGTAATACACATCATCACAAAAATACCAGTGTGGTATCATCATTATGTTCATTGAATTGTTACCCCTAATTTCAGGCTGATGACTTTTCATTGTCAGAGAGGGGCATAATTTATTACCCAGCAATATGGTAGCTTAAAGTAGCATTTCATAACTATTTTGTGAGAAAGAAAATTTTTTATAGAGAAGATTCTTTGTAAGTGAAAGTTCTAATGTATGTACTATAAATCATATCGACAAATTCAAATTTTTTTAACTAAAAGAAAAAATTTCCATTTATTTACCTCTGAATTCTTTTCTTTTTTCAGATCACTGCTCATGAGAAAAAAGCTCATGATAATTGGGTAAGTTTTAAATTCTAAAAGACTTATATGTCTCCAAAATAATTTTATCATTTTGTAATGTCATGCCTGTAATCCTGTGAGAAAGCATACCTTCCCCCCCAAAAAAAATACAGCTTATTTTGAAGTTATAAATTTTTTTTTTCATGATTGATGATTCTTTTTAGAAGGACCAATTACTTCTTCATTTGCCAGGATGATGCTATAAATTAAACTCTTTTTAAAGAGTCAGGTCAAGTCAACAACCATTTATTAAGTGTTTGTTAGGGGACTGGCACTGTGCTAAGCTATAGGATACAAAGAAAGGCAAAAGAAAATTCCTGCTTAAGATGCTTATGGTCTTTAGTGGAGACAACACGCAAAAAAACTACGTACAAACAATATATATAGTAAAGTGGAGATAATCAATGTAGAGAAAGCATTAGCATTAAAGATGTGGGAAAGGCTTCTTGTAGAATTTGAAGGAAGCCAGAGAAGCCAAGAGGTGAAAATGAGAAAGGAGAGAATTCCAGGCATGGAGGACAAGAAATATTACATTAAAACTGTCCAGATGAGTTTGCTAGGTGGTGCAGTAGATAGAGCACTGGCCCTGGATTCAGGAGGACCTGAGTTCAAATCCGGACTCAGACACATAACATTCACTTGCTGTGTGACTCTGGGCAAGTCACTTAACCCCAGTTGCCTCACAAAAAAAACAAAACAAACAAAAAAAACTGTCCAGGGTTGGGAAATTGAGAGTCTTATGTGAGAAATAGCAAGGAGTACAGTGTCAGTGGACCACAGAGTAAGTGGGGGTTACCAAGGTATAAGAAGACTAGAAATGTAGGAAGGGGGCGAGGTTATTAAGTGCTTTAAAAGCTACACAGAGGATTTTTATTCTAGATTATTTGATTCTGGAGATAATAGTGAGCCTCTGGAGTTGATTGAAAGGGAGAGGTGTGTGACATGATCAAACCTGTGCTTTAGGAAGATCACTTTGACAGCTGAGTAGAGGATGAAATGAAGTGTGGAGAGAGTTGAGACAGGCTGACCAACCAGAAGACAATTGGAATAGTCCAAATGTGAGGGGATAAGAGTCTGCATGAAAATGGTGGCTGTGCCAGAGAACAGCTGGGACATTTATCAGAGATATTACAAAGGTAAAAACCAATAAGACTTGCGAGTGGATTGGATATGAGGGGTGAGAGTGAGGAGATAAGGATGATAGCTAGGTTAGAGCCTGGGTAACTGGAAGAATGGTGGTGCCTTTGACAATAGGGAAGTTAGGAAGAGGGGAAAGCTTGGAGGGGAAAGATAATGAATTCAGTTTGCAGTGTGTGAGTTTAATATTTATAATAGACATCCAATTTGAAATGTCCAATAAGCAGTTGGAGATATGAGATTGGAGATCGACAGAGAGGTCGGTATAGAGATGATAATTGAATCCATGAGTACTGATGTGATCACCAAGTGGAATAGTATAAACATTTCAAGAAAAGAAGAGGGCCCAACACAAAGCCCTGGAGGATGCTCACCCTTAGAGAACATGAGCTGGATGAAGATCCAGCCAAGGAGACTGAGATGGAGTAGTCAGAAATGAAGAGGGAGAACCAGTATGGTCATGTCACAGAGTGCTAGAGAGAAGATATTATTAAGGAGAAAAAAGCGATTGACAGTGTCAAAGGCAGATGAGAGGTCAAGAAGGATGTTGACTGAGAAAAAGCCACTAGATCTGGCAATCATTGGTAACTTTGGAGAGAACAGTTTTAGTTGAATAATGAGATGAGAATCCAGACTGTAGAGAGTTAAGAGAAGAGTGAGAGGAAAAGAAGTGAAGGCATTGATTGTAGATGGTCTTTGAAGAGAACAAATAAGAATATTTATGAAGTGCTTAGCACTTTGGCACATATAGTAAGCATTCAATAAATGCTTGTACCATTCTCCTGTCCTCCCTCTGCCAAAGAGTTTAACTACAAAAGTGAGAGAGACATGGGATAATAGCTATTGGGGATAGATGAATCAGGTGAGGGGTTTTTTTTTAGCGCTAAGGAGAAAGACAAGGACATATTTATAGACAATAGGGAAGCAGCCAGTGGTCAGGGACAGAGTGAAGATAAGGGAGAGAGTGGGGATGATAGAGGGGGCAATCTGCTGGAGAATATGGGATGGAATAGGCTCACTCAATGAATTGGAGGGGTTTGCTTGGCCAGAAGAAGGGCCAACTCTTCATGTGAGACCAGAGGTAAAAGAAGAGATAGTTGTGGCAGAAGGCATCTGGGAGATGTGAGATGAGGAGGAGGAGAGAAGACAGAGCTCTTAGCAAATGGCTTCATTTTTTTTTTTAGTAAAATATGAGGCAAAGTTTTTGGCTGAGTGGGTGGGAAGAGGGGAGCCATGGGAGATTTGAGGAGAATTGAAAAGGTTTGAAAGAGTTGCTGTGGTGAGGAATAGTGAGTTGATTAAGGAGGTATAAAATGATTGCCTTGCTGTAGTGAGGACCCATTTGAGATCATGTAGCAAATTTGTAATGGACCCAGTCCAGCATGGTTTGGTGATTTTCTCCAGCTTTGTTCAGTAGCACAAGTATGAGTAAAGGCAGCAAATGGCAGGAGTAACTCAAGGCTTAGGCTCAGCAGAGAAATATTGGTGGTACGATTAGGGAGGCAAGAGAGTGGAGAGAAGAGCACAATATAGAGTTGAAACCTCTTCATGAAGGGGTTGAAATGGGGAAGATTGCAGAGTATAGCCAGTGCAGAACTGATGGCCTGGAAAAGAACTGAAAGGTTGAGGAATTGGAGATCATGGTGAAGACAGATAAGGGCTTGCAGTTGCAAGGCAGAGGGAGAGGTGGGATGATGATAGATTGTGGTCATGTAAGGGAATCTCAGAATTCATGAACATGGAAGTTTTGCAGTTGTGGGTGATGGCAGGATTAAGGGTATGACCATCTTTTTGTGTAGAGGTGAGGTAGGGAAGTAGGTCAGGGAAATGAGCAAGTTGATTAATATGTACATGGAAATGAAGACTTCGTGGTAGAGGGTATGTGACTGTTCACTTATGGCTGCCATTGAATGAGGATTCCTGTGGTGGTGGAAGGGTGGATTAGGTGTTCCCTAGGCTCTTTTCCTACACTTCACATTCTGTGCTGCCATATAACAAGGGCTAGACTAATCAATGAAACCTTTCTAGAGACAGTAAGATGTGATCGTTACTCCTTGCCACTTTCTAGCTACATATGTTAATGAACTTTTTAAAAAGAAAATAATTTCCTTGTGAATAGTTTAGTTTTGTCAACTTATAAAATTTCAAAAATTATAGAACGTTGATATTAAATGTATAGAAAATAAATGCCATTTATTTGAGAAGAACAATGAAGTAAGCTTTTTTGTACTTGTGTCTCTGTGCCCAGGGTTTGTACCTCCATGAGATTACTGCCAAGATTCTATGGAATGCAATATTCATTACACTCCATATTTTATATAAGCTTAAGTCTTAATTTCTCATAAAGTCCGTGACTTTTTATGTCTGACTTACGATTTCATTTTGTTGATAATTTACAACTGAACATACTTTAAGGATATACATTAAAAAAACCAAAAAAAATATATAAATTAATCCATTTATTCAACAAACATTTATTAAGTGCTTATTGTTTACAAGGCATTGTGCCCTTAGAAACTGAAGGTACATAAGCAAGAGGGATGATTGATGGACCAAGAAAGTCTTAAAAAAGACAGGAGTACATATGATGCATGCTATAAGCAGTGAGAGAGAAGGGGTAGTAGCCTTAGCAAATAGGAAAGGACTAACTCTTTTGGGTCTGGAGAGGAGGAAAATAAAATAGGTGAGGACACTGAGAAGTTTATGGACACAGAGGAATGTTGGCGGAATTCATATTTGATGGTTTCCATTGTGTCCTAATCAAAAGCATAACTGGTTATAGAATTTTTATTCTGATTTAATTTAAATATACAATATCACAATATAACAGTAAACAATAATATTAAATATAACAGTATACCCATCTTATTGCTTCATAGTATTAATGACATTCATTAACTTTTTTCATTCTTTACTTTTTTAGAAGTGAAAATTTGGTTATATGATTATATAATGAAAATATTTTATAAATGGAGGCAATTATAGATAGTACATTTTTTTTTGAGGCAGTGGGGGTTAAGTGACTTGCCCAGAGTTACACAGCTAGCTAGTAAGTATGTGAGGCCAGATTTGAACTCAGATTTGAACTCCTGACTCCAGGGTACATGCTGTATCCACTGCATCACATAGCTGCCCCCGATAGTACAATTTTAAACTAAACTTTTATACTCACTTTTAAAAAAAATTTTTTTATACTCACTTTTTAAAAAAGAGGTACCTGTGCATGATGTAAGCACATGTGATGTTAATTCTGACTTCATGGAGCAGCTAGATAGCGCAGTGGATAGAGCTCTGGCCTTGGAGTCAGGAGGATCTGAGTTCAAATCTGGCCTCAGACACTTGACATTGCCTAGCCCAAAAAAAGAAAAAAAAGGAATGTAATTCTGCCTTCATCATGAAATATGTGACTATATTGTATTTTTTACAATTAAATATAACAATAATAATAGCATATTTATGTTGAACTTTAAAGTGTACAAAGTGTTTTACATACAGTATTGCATTTGAGCCTTATGACAGTCCTGTGAGATAGATACTGCAGGTTTTATTACCTCCATTTTACAGATGAGGCCCCCGAGAGATTAAGTGTTTGGCCATCATTACATAGCTAGTAAGCACCAGAAGGAGGAAGTGAACCTAGGTCTCCCTGTTTCCAAGTTCGACACTCTCTGCAATACATTTAATGTGTTTATATAAATTATTTTTTCTTTTCACAAGTTGTCAGCCCGGGCTGCTGAAAGACACCTCAGTGACTTAAAAAAAGAAAATGCACATAACAGACAAAAGTAAGTAGTTTTCTTGCTAGTTTTTTTTTGTTAGTAACACCTAACTTTGTGTCACTTCAAAATGACAAAACTAAAAGTTATCAAGCAACAGCTGAGCCTTAAACTTGGGGCATGTGTTTATGTGTGTGTGCATGCACACGCGCATGTGCACATGTGCACACATGCACACATGCAGGCTTTAGTTGCCATAATACGCAGGGGTGTGTATGTGGGTGGGTGTGTATGTAGGCATATATACACACATGCATATAGGTGTATTCATATATATGCACATGTGTGCATGTGTCTATATTTTGTTTGAAATCATAGTAAGGGGGAGCATTGTGAGGAGTCAGCTAGAGTAGGTTTTGGAGCTCAAGCTGTGAGTAGACTGGGGCCCTTGAATTAGAGCCCAAAGCCAGAACAGCAGCTGAGGCAGCTACAGGACCCAATGTTTGCAAAAAGAATAGAGAAAATGTTTTGATGGTGAAGAAGATATTGAAGGAACCCTGGCTGGTTTTAAGTCTGTTCCCTCATATAATCTTCAGCGGCAATCACTTTTAGACACGTCTCTGGTAAAGCTTCAGTTGTGCCATATGCTTGTTGAACCTAATCTGTGTCGATCGGTTCTTATAGCAAACACTGTAAGGCAGGTTCAAGAAGAAATGACCCAGGATGGAACTTGGCAAGTGATAAATGCTCAGAATATGGGACAGGCATGCCTTGACTGCCTACTATGATCAGATAGCTTTTGTCATTCAGCCAAAGAACATGGTGAATGGAAATTCATTCCAGGTTATAGTAGTTTCTCAAAAGATTTTGAAGACATCCAGTCCCAAGATATTATTTCTGACCTGTACATGGTTACATCAGTACAAGCCCCAAGAAACCCTCAAAGTAATGTTTGGGAAATGGAGAACCCTCCAGAAGACAGGGGAAACTTTCAGAATTGGAGAACAAAAATCCCAGTTCCATATAATACTTATTTTCAGATATTGACTATTCTTATTATGATCTTGGTAAAATATTAACAGGAATGATGAGCATCACAAAAATAGGACATTGTGGCCTTGAAAAAGCTTTTCATCTCAACCACAAATTCTAATTCAAATTGTAAATCTGATATAAATGAGCTTGACTATAATGTGGAAATCCTTGTTGAACCTTGAAATGTTTAAATGCATGATTCTTTGTGAAGAAATCAAGAACATTTGAATGTGGGATTAGACATTGACAGAATTGGTTTCTAGTCCTAGTTTTGCCTAGTTTTGTGGTCCACATCAAATCAGTTCCTTTCCCTGCGTTTCACTTTTCTCCTTTGTAAAGTGAATTCTTGCTTTGGATGTCTTACAAGATTTCTTTCACCTTGAAAATCAGACCACATTTATGGCTGATGCTAATTACAGTAGACCTGAATCTGCCTGGTTTTCTTCCTCCACCCTGAAAGTGGAAGAAAGAAGTACAAGGCAGGGAAAGGGAACAGCACATGGTATCCAGAGTTACTTCAGAGGAGCTGTTCCTTCCCTAAAGTGCTGTGATTGTGTAAGGGAAAGATTAAGTACTGGGTAGTGGCATTTGTCTTGTAATTATGGGTGTTCTCAGTTTAATGGATAACTAAGAGATGTTTCTTCTTTCTTTGCAGGTTAACTGAAATAGAATTTAAATGTGACCTCTTAGAAAAAGATCCTTATGCCCTTGATGTTCCAAATAGATCCTTTGGCAGAGGTACTGCTTTTTTCCTTCACTTTTCAACATATTTTACTTTGTAAAGTTAATTGGATAATATTAGCATAAATATGATATAGTTATTCATAAAGGCTATAAATTCAAGAGCCAGGGTTCTAGTCTTAGCACTCTTATTATCTCTGTATATGAGTCTTTAGGCATAGTTTCACCATCCATAATAATAGTATTTGCTCTCTGAATCTCAAAGGGATTTTGCAAGACGATGTAATTTTATGCCGTAAGCTCCTGGAAAGCAATTGAAAGTATTGAAAAGACATATCATTATGACTAATTATTTATTAAGTCTGTTTTGGAATGTTTTTATTTCTGGGAATGATGGCAGTTTAGGAATTCATTTTATAATTGTGTTCATTATGTATTGCTCTCTTATTTATCCAGTGTATATTATTTCTTGTGGTAGATTATATAATCTCAAACTATTCTAAATCATGTCTTCCAAATAATTTTTGTTGAATTAAAATTATTAATGCCCAAGAAAATGAAAAGAAACCTATTTCATATAGGCTAAACTTCATTTTAACAAACTTGAAAATACATCGAAATCTAAATTTCATTAAAATAGAAGTATATTGTTATAGTATTTAGTAAGATTACATTGCACTGTTGTTGTTTGTTAGTATTTGTTGATATAATACATTAGGATTACCCCATATTTGCAAACAAATTCCTAGCTTGGCAGTGAAAGGTGTTTTTAAAAAGGGAGAATGCTTTGCTTCTAAAGCAGTGGTCCTTAAGAGGGTAAATAACTGCTTTGCCCTTCTGCTTTTAACTGCATTTGAATATAATATGAGATATTGCTAATGCAATTTGATGTGCTTTTTAAACTGTGGTATTGGTGATGTTTTAGAGTCTGGTTGTTTTTCCCTTTTTCTTTTTGTTAAAAAATAATTCCAAGAGGCAGTAGGATTTATAAACTTGGCTAGTTACCATCAGCTAAAGCTAACTGCAAGTTATTTTATGAATTACCAGCTAAACTGGTAAGGATAATATTAGGAGTCAATATTAGGATTTTGTTTGCAAAGTGCTTTATAAACCTTGTCACATATGAACCCTTAAAAACCTTTTGAGGTGGGTCATAAAAATATTATCCCCAATTTTCAGATGAAAAAAGCTGAGGCTCAGAGAAGTTTAATGACTTGCTCATTTTGTTACACAAGTAGTATCAAAGGTGGGATTTGAACCTAGGTCTTCCTTTCTCCCAGTCAATGCTCTGTCACCAGGCTACGTAATGCAGAATAGGTCCTGGGGCTTCAGTTAATGCATTGCCCTACAAAACCTGAAATCTCCCTAAAACAGATTATAGCTTTTCATAGCTTGTCTCTTCTACAGAACTGCGCCCTCTTATTTTACAGTTTCCACTAGTTGGAGCTACACCAACAGCCAAGAAACAAGGTCATTAAATTTTATTTTAATAAAACTCTAAAACATCACTAATACCCTATTGAACAGGTATTCAAATAATTTTACATAAAATGACAATACCTATTAAATAGATTCATCGTTAAATGGACAGGAATATGAGAATACCTTTTGTACGTGGGATTTTTCATTCAAAATAATTCTGTCCATATTAGCAAAGTGGTGCCCTTATAGTGGGACATGAAAATATTCTTATGATATGAATAAATGTTTTAAATGGTACTCATTAACATGAGATTCTACCTGTATCCAGTGTAGTTGCTGAAATTGAATTTAAGTATGTTGTTTTAATTATTCCAGAGCATTCCCCATATGGACCCTCACCAATGGGTCGGCCTTCACCAGAAATGAGAGCTTTTCTCTCCCCTCCAACTCTGTTGGAGGGTCCACTCAGACTTTCACCTTTGCTTCCAGGGGGAGGAGGAAGAGGTATATTGCTTAAACATCTTTGTTACTCTGGATTTTTCCATTCCTTTCTTTATTTCAACTTATCTGAAAAATGAATTGTAATACAAATATTTGGAAAGTACAGGCAGTTCTATAATTTACAGTGGGTTATATTCCTGGGGAAAGGGCCATTAAGTCTGACTGACGTGAGTGGAATCTTATTTTCCCGTAAAAACAAGGTTATATGAAAAGGCCATACTCCTGATCAAGCAAAACTATTCTTAGCCATATTTTTTAACCGCAATTTAGTCAGTTATAAATTCTGCATGCTCTATGCTAGTATAAAGCATTCTAGAATATAATAAAACAGGGAAACACAAATTTGTTTTTTAATATATCATAGTCTAATACATAGAGTCCTTACCCTCTTCATAATTATTGCTTTATTTTTATTGTCAACAAACGAGATGAGAGTAAACCTTCATTAGGATCAGGGAAGTCGAAAGGCTTTCCTTGAAGAGATTTTTGACAGGTATCTTTAAGGAGTGTTTAGGGATGATTTAAAGCCATTTGATTGTTTCATAAAGAACTGATCCAAGTATGTGTCTTTGGGTCCCCTGTGATAAGCATAAGTGTTAGAAAATAAACTGTGGTTTGGTTGTGGGGTTTTTAATTTTCTTTTGTTTTGCTTTTTGTTTTTTTGATGTATGTGTGCCTTGAAAACATCTGCTTTCTTGAATTGTCATGCCATCAACACTAATAGCTTTATTTTGTACCCTGATATTGCACAGTGCATACATGCCTTTAAAATGCATCAAAATAACCTTACTTGGTCTGTGCAGGGGATAGGGAGGGACTATCTGAGTCTCCTAGGCTGAAACTGGTAGACCAGGGAGTATTTTTAAATGGAGACTATCAGAAGGCAGACTGCCAATGGGATATGTTACTTTGTCTAGTGTAAGTACTGTACGTATTAACATGGGTACAATTGGTTGAATGCCATGAATGCATATCACTGGAAGTTGACTGACTGTAAATTGTGGACTGCCTGTAATCAACTGAATATTTAGAATGAAAAAATCAATAAGTACCTTTGATTTCTCTCCTCCTTAAATAGCTTTTATGATACAAATTCTAAAGATTACCTGTATGACTTTTTATTATTAGGTGTTATAATAAGCACAAAAATTATAGGTAAGATTGAAAAGGACTAAAGCCCATTCTTTTTTGGTTCTTATCAATTTACCTTTAAAATACTTCTAAACATGGCATTTCTATTCTTGGTTTCCATCTAAAGAACTAATAAAGTATCTTCCCTTTTACTTTCTCTTATTACCTATTTCATTTTTGTCCTTTTTTTGTTTGTTTTGATGAAGGTAAGGATTTGGGACATGCATTTTAACAAGGATAGGATTTATTTAACTCCTGGCATATAGTAGTCACTTAATACTTGATTGCTGTAGAAGTATTTGCTTGTGTATTTAGTAATCTTTTCTTATATATAAGTAGCTAAATTAATATTTAAGCAACATTTTCAGCTTTTTAGTTTTAACTTTTTAAAGACTTAACTAGTTAATTCTAAACTACTAACAGAAGAGAATTGGAACAAATCAATGAATGAGACATGCAACAAAAATTTAAAAATCAGTATATCATAAAAAAAAAAATCTGAAAATCTAAGAGGAGATAAAATACAAAAAAAAAAATACCCCAGTAGCTAATACAATAAGAAAAAAAAATTCACAACTGAAGACAGAATAAAGGAAATTATTAGAAATTATTTTGTTCATCTACATGCCAATAAAACTTATAAAATAAATAGATGAATAGTTACAAAAATATAAAATGCCCATATTAAGAGAAGAAGAAATAGAGGATTCAAGTAATCCAGTTTCAGAAAAAGAAAGTAAACAACCCCAAAGGGAAAAAAAAAACCCTAAAGCCCAGATGGATTTACAAGTAAATTCTATCAAACATTCAAAGAACCATTAATTATAATATTACATAAATTGTTTACAAAATGAAGGAAAGAAAGGATGCCATCAGCTTCCTTCTTTGAGACAAATATGATCCTGATACCTAAACTAAGGAGAAAAAACTATAGGCTAATGTGTCTAGTGAATATTAGTGTAAAAATATTGAATATATATTAGTGAAGAGATTATAAAAACATTTAAAAGATTATATATTATGACCAAGTTGGATTTATACCAGGAATACATACCAGATTGGTTCAATATTAGAAAAACTATGAATATAATAAAGCATATTATTAAAAAACAAAAATATTTATGTGATTTATATTTATATGATTTATATATAGATTCACGGAAGGCTTTGATAAAATACAGTTCTCATTTCTCTTTTTAATTTTTTAACAAACAAGAAACAAAACTAATATTTCCATGTACATTATAGAACAGAAGGAGGGGAGTGTATATGAAGTTGAATCTCTACTTTGAAGATTTTACTTTTCTTTCTAAGTTTATACTGCATTCAACATGTAATTTTCAAAACTGTCCTACTTGTCTGGAATTCTTTGTGGCTCCCCTTCTTTTCTCACTTTTTAAAAAAAATTCTGTCTCTAGCTCCCTGTTCCTCTCCCCTACCTTGACCTCACCTCCATCCCTACCAGTTGGAACAGACATGCATAGTCAAGCACAATAAATTCCCACATTGGTCTTAGCCAAAAATAGCTGTCTTATTCTGCATCTTGAGTATATCACCTCCCTCTCTGTCAGGACTACTTCTGATGTGCAGTAGTTGCTGGAAATGTTCAATAACAACTCTCTGGGAAATGTACGTGGGTTAACACTTTTAAGTGTAATCTGCATTATTAACCTTTTTTCCGTCACTTTTTAAAGTCTACACAGTCAACTAAACAATAAATCAAACCCTGATTTGTAGGGCTTGCAATTTCTGAGGTGTAAATACTCATATTGAAAATTGAACAATTGGTTCTCTTGGCCTGAGCCAATCTAGCACATCTCTGGCAGCACAACTTCATCATTAATACTCTAGAATGGAGGGTGGTAATAACATTAATTACAATTCTTAACTCTTTCAAAGTTGTTTTTCTTTATGTTGTTATTGTTGTAGAAATTGTTCTCTTAGTTTCACTTCACTGTGTATCAGTTTATGAAAATCTCCCCAGGTTTCTCTAAACTCACCTTTTTCATCATTTCTTAAGGTAAAATAATACTGTGTTGCATTCACATGCCATAATTTATTCAACCATTCCTCAATTGGTGCTCTCTTCCCCACCGCCTTTCCCACTCCTCCCTTGGAACTTCAGTGGGACAGTGAACTCTAATACCTTAGTCTGAGAAAGTTCCCTGGGTCACTAAGAATTAACTGCCTTGCCCAGCTAGTATGAATCAGAAGCAGGAGCTAGGTCTTCTTGATTTCTTGACCCTCTAGCTACTATACTATCCTACCACTCAGCATTTGTGTTAGAATGTAAAACATTTCATTTGAATTTTTTCCTATAGACTTGGAGATTAAATAGATTAAGTTTTTACCAAAATATTTGATTTATGCTTTTATAAGCATACCAAAAGAGCATTAACCTGTTTATAATAGTTAGTGTAGGAAGTACTACCTTTATTCCAGCAGTGCTGCCTTTGAGTGAAATGTTTTCTCTTAAATGTCCTCCAGTTGTTGAGGGTAGATTTGATTTTTGGAAACAACCAAAAGTCATTTGGAATCAAGCCTGGCGAATAAGGTGGGTGTTACAGCTTGGTAATGTATTTTGTGGGGAGGGAAGAGAAAAATATATGACTAACTATAAAGAGATGAATTTTGATCCTGCGCTTCTGTGATTTTCTTGTGTGGCATACACGGCTCCTCTTACAGAGGAATTCCAAAAATATTTTAAGCAATGACAGCATTAACTTATAGAGTATGTTGTGTAGCCTCCCAAGGTTGGCAAACTTTTCAAAACTGATCTCACTACTTTTATATTCATATCTTAGAGAATATTTTATTTTTATAGAAACCTTTACTTTGCAATTTCATTTTTAACCTTTCAGATTGTTTTATAATTTGAATACGTTCATTGATTTTGCTTAAGTAGCCTTAAAAAAGTAATAGCACAAAACAACACCCTGAAAATTAGTTTATAGACACAAGTTTCTGTACTTTGTAAATTTTTTTCCTAGTTGTCCTAACAACTCAAAATTCATTTATTTATTTATTTAGTATACCCTTCTAGTGAAGTCCACTGTTTAAATTCAATGGAATTAATTCTTTGTGTTTACATAAAATATTATTTCATTTATTTGTCTGTTTAGGTTCAAGAGGACCAGGGCATCCTCTGGAATATCAGAATGCAAGTGAGCGAGGAGAATTATCTGATCCCCACAGAGCACCTTCAGACACTGAATCTCTGTCACCTTCATGGGATAGAGATCGTAGAATGATTATTCCTCATTCAGGTATGTAAAGTTGGCCAACTGAGAGTCTAAGAAGCAATCAGCGTGGACTCTATACCTCATTAGAAGGTACTGGTACAAAGGGGAGGAAAAAACCAATAAAGCCAGATAAATTGTGATTGTTCACATGACATTAGTATCCTTTACTTAACCAAAAGGTTTAAAACATTATTCTTTGAAATAGTTGAGTTCCTGTGGTTTATTTGAGGTTACTATATTCTGTAGTGTAAAGAACACTATGGGGAGTCAAGTCCTCTTGGTGTTTGGTCTTTGTTCTGACATTGTGGTACTTTGGACCCATCAACCTCTCTGCCTTGGCTCCCTCAACTGTAAAATTAGGAGTGTAGATTAGGTAACGTTTTAAGATCTTTTCCAACTACAAAAGTCTATGAAAAAAATCTATGTTCAACAATTTGGACATAATACTTTAGGGACACAGCTGTTATATAAAGAACACTGCACAGAAAAAAAATATGCTTCTTCAAATCCCCCCCAAAAATCTACATCGACATCATGAGCAGTCAAAAGAGGACTCAATTTAAGTACTCAAATTCCAAGAAGTAAATCAATCATAGCCTTTGTAATATGTTTTCTCTCGTTGATAGTGTAAGTTTGTGCTTCTATTTCATAATAGTTTAAGCCATTATAAAGTCTTAAACCAATATAGAAGTTGTATTTGTAATTTTTTTCAGTAGTTTGCCCATTTTGATGTATTGAGTATTGAAGCTTTTTTTTCTTCAACAGGATTTGCAAGCAAGGGTCATAATAAAGTTAGAAGCCATGATTAGTCTTACTGTTTTTTGATTGATTCCTGGAAAATTCAGAGAAAACTGAAAATAAATCTTTCCATATACATTAAAACAGTCTTTAATTTATAGACTATTTGTAGTTCTTGATTTGAACCCATATGTACTGACTGTTGGTATGTGAGTCAGCATCCATAGGTTTTTTTCTCTTTTTCCCTTCTTTCTCTTCCTTGCAACATATTCATTCTCTCTCTCTCTGTCTGTCTCTCTCTCTCATACACATACTCACTCACACATGCAGAACATGCCATACTTGTAGAAATTATTGACCTGGAGGGACACCTTCTCTTATGAAGATGAAGAGAAGAAAAGGAGCACCTTATCTCTAGCAGATGTAGAGAGGTTACAGTATATTGGTGTTCAGGATTATTTGCTTCCCAGTCTTCCCTCCAACCCTGTCTCCCAGACCAGCTCCAGAAGCTCTGCCTCTCAAAAAAGAAAAAAGTATTCCTGTACTTTAAAAAAAGCTGTATGTAATGGTGATTCCTATTACATATTCATTCTTCCTTTTCTGCTCTTTGTACATGAAAATGTTCATGTTTGTTGGTATTTAATAAATTCAAAATAACAAAAAAATTAGAATAAAAAAAAGATAGCTTTTTGTTTCACATAGAAACTTGGGGTCCTCAACAGAACCTTTGCAATTTTTTTTCTTTTTTAAAATCTTATTTAATATTTTATTTTTTCCCAATTACATGTAAGAACAATTTTAAAATTCTTTTTTTTCCTTCAAATTTTGAGTTCTAAATTCTTTTCCTCCCTCCCCATCCCCACCATTAAGAAGGCAAGCAATTTAACATAAACTTACATGTGTAGTCATGCAAAACACATTTCCATGTAAGTCACTGTGTGAAAGAAAACAGAGACAAAAAAAATTCAAGAAAAATAAAGAAAAATTATCTTTGATCTGCATTCAGGCTCTACTAGTTCTTTCTCTGGAGATGGACAGCACCTTTTATCATAAGTCCTACAGAATTATCTTGGATTATTATATTGCTGAGGATAGCTAAGTTATTAAAAGTAGTACAATGTTGCTATTACTGTGTACAGTATTCTGGTTCTGCTCACCTCACTCATCATCAGTTCATGTAGTTCTTTCCATGTTTTTCTGAGAGCGTCCAGCTCATCAGATTTTTTTTTCTTTTTTTCCAGGTATGACTATTTTATTTTATTTTATTTTTGTTATTACTGAAACTTAAATACACAATAAGAAAAGAAAAAGAAACATAAACATATTGAAACTTAAATATAAAATGAGGAAAGGAAAAAAAAGCATGTCATGTGCACAGAAGAATGTAAGAGAGTATTAAAAATATATAGCAATAAATTTCCATTTCAAGAAAGCCTGTATAATAATTACTATGCATTATGTTGAGAGCTGTCCATCTTTTCTTTGCTTCCTTGTTTCTTTGGTTCTGTGCTGCACACTTTTTACTTTGTTCTTTTTTCTCCCTTCCTCCTGCTGCCCCCTACAATATAAATATAAATACACACACACACACGTACACATTTATATTTACATACACATAACATACATACATACATACATAGACATATACTTTCCCTAACAAATTCTACTTCTGATCTTTGTTTTTATGTTCATGCATATCTCTTCTTTCCTACATCTTCTGACTCCTCTACTTTACTTCTGCCCACTACCTTGCCCTCTTATTACTTAACATACCCCCCCAATCATCCTTATCCTGCCATTCTCATAAATCTAAACATGCTTCTATACCCCCTTTGACATATTCTGTCATGCTTCTCTCTAAAGATCCCTTCCATTTCCTCCAAATGATCCCTCCCTTGTCCTCCCATTCCCATTAAGCTAAACAAACTTCTATACCTCCTTTTTAAAAAAAAAATTTTGTCTCTTTTTAAAATTTATTTTTAGTTTTGAGCATTCACTTCCACAAGATTTTGAGTTCCAGATTTTCTCCCCACCTCATCCCTCCCCCCATCCCAAGATGGCATGAATTCTGTATATACCTTTCCCTAATCTGCCCTCCCTTCTCTCCACCACTTCTCTTATCCCCTTCCCCTCCTATTTTCCTGTAGGGCAGGATAGAGTTCTATGCCCCATTTCCTGTATTTCTTATTTCCCAGATGCATGTGAAAACAATTTTTTTTTAACATGTGTTTTTAAAACTTTGGGTTCCAAATTTTCTCCCTTCCTCCCTCCCCACCCACCCTCATTGAAAAGGCAAGCAACTCAATACAGGTTATATATGTGTAGTCATGCAAAACACTTACATAGTAGTCATGTTTTGAAAAACTTAAGTATATTTCCCTTCATCCCATCTCGCCCCCCACCCATTTATTCTATTCTCTCTTTTGACTCTGTACCTCCTCAGAAGTGTTTGCTTCTGATTACCCCCTCCTCAAATCTTCCCTTCCCTCTATCATCCCCCTGCTCTCTTGCCTCCTTCCCCCCCTCATTTTCCTGTAGGGTGAGATAGATTTCTATACCCTGTTGAATGTGTATGTTATTCCCTCCTTAAGCCAAATCTGATGAGAATAAGATTCACTCATTCCCTCTCACCTTCCCCTGTTTCACCTCCACTGTAAAAGCCTTTTATTATCTGTTTTATGTGGGATAATTTATCCCATTCTACCTCTCTCTTTCTCCTCCCAGTATAATCCTCTCTCACTCCTTAATTTTGTTCTCCAGATATCATCCCTTCATCTTCAACTCACCCTGTGCCCTCTATCTATGTATACATACATATAATTTTTTTTTTCCCTGCCACTACCTTAATACTGACAAAAGACTCAGGAGTTACAAATATCATCTTTCCATGCAGGAATGTAAACAGTTCAACCTTAGTAAGTCTCTTATGATTTCTCTTTCCTGTTTACCTCTTCCATGTTTCACTTGAGTCTTGTATTTGAAAGTCAAATTTTATATTCAGCTCTAGTCTTTTCATGAAGAATGCTTGAAAGTCCCCTATTTCACTGAATGACCATTTTTTACCCTGGAGGATTATACTCCGTTTTGCTAGGTAGGTGATTCTTGGTTGTAGTCCTATCTCCTTTGCCCTCCAGGATATTATATTCCATGCCCATGGGTTCCTTAATGTAGAAGTTGCTAAATCTTCTGTTATCCTGATTGTGTTTCCACAATACTTGAATTGTTTCTTTCTGGCTGCTTGCAATATTTTCTCCCTTACCTGGGAACTCTGGAATTTGGCTGCAACATTCCTAGGAGTTTTCCTTTGGAGATCTCTTTCAGGAGGTGATCGGTGGATTCTTTCCATTTCTATTTTGCCCTCTGGTTCTACTATATCAGGGCAGTTTTCCTTGATAATTTCTTGAAAGATAATGTCTAGGCTCTTTTTTTGATCATGACTTTCAGATACTCCAGTAATTTTTAAGTTCTCTCTCCTGGATCTATTTTCCAGGTCAGTTGTTTTTCCAATGAGATATTTCATATTGTTTTCTATTTTTTCACTCTTTTGGATTAGTGTTACAGTGCCTTTATTTCTCAAATTGTCACTAGCTTCCAATTTCTCCATTCTAATTTTGAAGAAAGTATTTTCTTCAATAAGCCTTTGGACTTCCTTTTCCATTTGACCAATTTTGCTTTTTAGGGCATTCTTCTCTTCATTGGCTTTTTGGACCTATTTTGCCATTTAGGTTAGGCATTTTTTTTTTTAATTTTTAGGCAGTTGGGGTTAAGTGACTTGCCCAGGGTCATACAGCTAGTAAGTGTCAACTGTTTGGTCTGAGGCTAGATTTGAATTCAGGTTCTCCTGACTTCAGGGCCAGTGCTGTATCCACTGTGCCACCTAGCTGCCCCTAGGCTATTTTTTAAGGTGTTATTTTCTTAAGTTTTTTTTTTTTTTGGATTTCCTTTAGCAGGCTGTTGACTTGTTTTTCATGATTTTCTTGCAGACTCTCATTTCTTTTCCAGGTTTTTCCTCTTTTTCTCTTACTTGCTTCTCAAATCCTTTTTGAGCTCTTCCATGGCCTGGGACCAATTCATATTTCTCTTAGAGGCTTTGGATATAAGAGTTTTGACTTTGTTGTCTTCTTCTGGTTGTATGTTTTGATCTTCTTTGTCAGCAAAGTAAGATTCTATGGTCTGACTCTTTTTTATTTTTATTTATTTATTTATTATTTTATTTTATTTATTTAGGTTTTTTTGCTTTTAGGCAATTGGGGTTAAGTGACTTGCCCAGGGTCATACAGCTAGTA